TTCTCCTGAAGTCTCTTTGTTTTTCTTCTCCATAAAATTCTCCTGAAGTCTCTTTGTTTTTCTTCTCCATAAAATTCTCCTGAAGTCTCTTTGTTTTTCTTCTCCATAAGGTTCTCCAGCTGTAAACTTTGGCAGAAAGTTCTGGTTGTTCATACATTTCTAGACTTTGATCTTGTTTTAGAACTTAAATTGTATAATCACATCTCCTTTTAAATACAAAACAGCGTCAACCTATCATGTTCTGTGATGTTGATGTGTATATAATAAACGAACAGACAATATATTGAACTGTACTCATAGAAAGAGGTAGAACTATAAAAATGCACACTAGATAACATAAAAATCTAAAGCTGTAGTTACCACACCTGGAATCGAACCTTGTCTCTTTCAAATGATGACAGCGTCTCGCTGCAGAAGCAAGAATACTAAAAAGCATGACAAACTAGGCACCCTTAAACAATGTGTCTTCATTAGCCATATTTATCATACAGCTTGAATCCACAACTATAGAATACGGACAGAATTGCTCTCAAACTTTTTATTAATGTCATGTTGATAACAAGAAAGCCGCCGTGGTGTGGCAGCTAGACTCTCGTTTGCGGATCGGAACGTTGTAGGTTGGGGTCCTCCCGGAGCCTGACTTTAAAAAAAATAACCTTGGCTCTTAGGTCGACCCAGCCTTGAGTGGGTACCAGATGCAGTCCTGGGAAGTAAAGACAGCTGGCGTGATGCTGACCATATCACCCACCAAGTGCGGATTGATCTATAAAATATAGGTCTAGCCCTATATGCCCAGTGTGCCTGAAGGTGTAGAAAACGTCATTTGCTTCTGTTGGTAACAATGTCTGTCAGTGGCAGCTGTGGTCCACATGAACATCAACCAGGAAACTATCAGAGGGCATATATTATTCCAACTGGTGGCAGAGCACTTATGGTTTATAACCTTGTGCAATGACGCTGGTTCATATCTCCCGACTTTACCTTTTTTATATTATTCCAGAATTGGTGTTCTGCAAAGTGATGCTCCTCATGCGCACCAGTGCAGAATTTACTAGAAAGAAGCAACCTGTCGTAAGTGTTAGTACCATACTAAGGGCACGAGGCGTTCATTACGACGGAGAGGTCAACGAAGTAACAAAAAGTCAGAAGTCTTCATTTGTGGTGTGTTAATTGCAGCCAAGTGGTGCCAATGGTGTTTTGTTTGCGAATCATCATCATCATCAGGTGTCTTGCCGGCTGGCGTGGGCGATCATGCCTTTCCATAATCTGCGATCTCCTGCAGCATGTATCAGTTCGTGTGCCGACACACCTCCATGCCATGCAACAAGACTGTCAAGCATCTTCTCTCGTTGTCTTCCTCTATCTCTCCTTCCACAGATCTTTCCAGTGGTCACAACATGTTCTATTTTCCCTCTTCTCATAACATGGCCGAAAAAATGATGATTGTCTCCTTCTGATGTCTGTGATAAGTTGTCTTTGGGCTCCCGCCTCTTGCGAATAATAGGTTGCTGAAAAAATTGGATATATTTTAAACAGGAAACAAATCAAAAACAGATGGCCTGAAAAGACTGCAAAGAAAAAAAGAGTTGTTAAAAAGAAATTTTAAAAAGAGACAGTTAAAATAGTTCAAATGACATGAGCTCATTCTGTAGGCCACGTGCGACTTAGGCTATCAATTACAGTTGTAGCCGGTCGTGTGTAGGCCTGTCCACTATACTTACAACTTTGAAGAGAAACCTAGTGCAAAGTGTGCTGAGCAAGCTATGGGGAACCATGAAGGACCCACAACTGACGCGTATTCGTAGGGACAGCCCACCCGATCATCTGACTTGAGCATATGAAAGTGAACACGAAGAAGAAGAAATGACATGTTTGTGGAGCTATTGGAAAGGGGGAAGGGGGGAGATCAGAGCATATATATATCTGTCCGGAGTGCTGTGATGATAATCCTTAACAGTCACTAATCACTCTTCTTTTTAAAAACTACTGAAGGGAAAAGTAAAAGGTAAGAGTAAGATAGTGATACAAGTAGGATGATAACATCAAGAGAGTGGTTAACAGCAGTCTCGGGAAAGGTACCACCATAACGAGACAGAGCGGATTAGAAATCTTCTGTTGCCAACGTTCATTGTGAAGGCAGCAGTTGATTGTTGTGAATGACAATTTCTTCTTCTTTGTGTTCATCAGCTGTAAACTCCGATAGAAAGTTCTAGTCATTCGACCACTTCTGGACAACTTGGCTGCACAAAAGACACCTTCTGCAATGCCAGGAGTTATGTCCTGGGTTTGCCGACTATGACAAGCAGATACAAAGTGGCACAGGTTAGGGCGTACATGAGGGTATCAGCAGACGTTAACCACCCACTGCACAAAGCTATACACGACACAACAGGAACGCGTCTCAAAAGAGGCCGCTCTTGGATGGCAAAGGCTGAGGATTTAATCCAGCAGGTATGTGACCAAGACGTGATCGGTCACGGAAAAGAATGGACAAATACACCAGTAGACATGCATGGCATCTCTAAGGTTGTCATCACACTCGGAAGGTACTGCAGGGATCAAATTCCTGCGGCCGTAGACACGGAAGTAAGGGAACTGATAGATCAGCATTCAGACCCAGAAGATATCATCATCTACACAGATGGATCCGTGAAGCACGGATCAAGGTCAGCATGGGCATACACAGCGCAAAGAAGGGGAAAAACAATACAGGAGGACAGCGGCGCTTACCAGACAACCACGTCAAGCATAACCATGGAAATAGCTGCTTCTTCTAGAGCTTTAGCATGGGTATCCGAGCAAACCGCCGCACAGGCAGTTATTGTATCAGACTCCATTAATATGCTTCAGAAGATAGCAACAGGCGGTATGCGCTCTGAATGGGTAGAAAGGTTAGTTGCGTATCCTTTACAGGACGTTGCAGAACCAATCCCAGTAGCCCTAGTTGTTGTGTGGTTTCTCTATGCAAATTTACGTCCAGAGTTTGCCATTGCCTACTGGACGGTCGGCCCCCTGATACCACTGTCGAAACCAACGCAAGGCGCATGGCCCGCAGCTGGGATGAATGGGTAGAAAGCATTCGAAAATCGCACTTGACCTCCGTTACCTGGATCTACAAACCGGGTCACACGGGCGAGCGGAGCAACTGGCAAGCACTGCACTAAGGATTGCAGGAAAAAGCATGGACAGAGCAGATATCGTCAACGCTGTACGAACTGAGCTAGTGGGTAATGAGGAATCCCTGAAACTAACACGATTGCGTGACATGGGGGTAAAGCATGGTGAAGCACCTCTATGCCGTCTTCGAGGCCGAGATAGGAGAAAATATAACAGCTTCTCATGGGAACAGTTAGTAGAAGTACTTTGGAGTGGCTGCAGCATCGAAGGACTGAGCACGCATGGAAATGCCCAAAATGCAGTGACGTCGATTGGGATAACATAACATAACATAAGCATTTTATAAAATGAAGAACATCTTATGCAATATATTTTTGTCATTGAAGGTTAGAAAAAAAATTATTGCTTGCTACATACATCCAGTTTTAACATATGGCTGTGAGTCATGGACATTCGGTAGGCAGGCCAAACTATCTCTTGAACCTGAGTGTAACCAGAGGGTTTGGTCGACTCGCTTTACTCAGAGGAAATGCGAGACGGACCTATAACCAGATTGTGACCGGTACCATCAGTATTGGAACTCTGAGCTGGTTGCTGAAGATGAGGACGGAGCACGCATGGGAATGCCCCGAGTGCTGTGATGTCAATTCTTGACTTAACCTAACTAACAATTTCTTGAGGCTTCAGAGATGTGGTTTTACAAACGAATTCTTAAAATACCCTGGACTGCCAAAAAGAGCAACCAAGAGGTTTTGAAGGAGGCGGGAGCCCGAAGACAACTAATCACAGACATCAGAAGGAGACAGTCATTATTTTTCGGCCATGTTATGAGAAGAGGGAAAATGGAACATGTTGTGACCACTGGAAAGATCTGTGGAAGGAAGGATAGAGGAAGACAACGGGAGAAGATTCTTGACAGTCTTGTTACATGGCATGGAGGTGTGTCAGCACAAGAACCATAATACATGCTGCAGGAGATAAGAGATTGTGGAGAGGCATAATCTCCCACGCCAGTCGACCAGGCACCTGATGATGATGATGATGAAATGTATTTTAGTCCGAGTAATAAATTGCTTGACCTTCTGAAATTGAAATAGTTTGATCATGCTAAAGACCTAAACCTTCTCATTTAATTATGTGCATATAGTTGTGTATCATGGTGTTTTAGGAAGCTACACCCCATGCTCCCTTTTTTGTGTTGTCGCAATTTGTGCCTATGTGTTGAGTGTGTGGTTGGCGGTGGGCGGGGTATTCAGTTCTAATGCACTACTTAGAGCTTCTTCTACATCGACACGGAATGACAATAGCCATTGCTGCCCATCAAGCAACGGATCGCAAACGGTTCCTCCCCATAACGCCTAACGTCAACGTCGTTGATGACACTCTACTTTTGATTCTACTAAACTGTACTCTCTCATATTGTTCTCCCACTTGCATCTCTTATTAATATTACATTTTGCTCTTCTTTATTCGATTTTTCCTTCTAGTATTTTGTGAAAAAGAGTGTCATGAATTAAATATCAAGAAAAGATATAAACCCGAACGAAAAGTATATTTGCAAGCTTCACAATATAACAAATACAAACAAAACGTGAACGTTACGGCTATTGAGCCTTCATCAGCACATACACATTAAACAATACTACATAGATACACAAAATCACTTAGCTGGTATCTCGATGCGGCCAGGGCGGTGGTTACTCAGCAGAATTAAATAGAAGAGCACTATTTGGCTTTCACAGACGTGTGTATCCCTGGCATTGCTAGCCAAACTTATGCCAGATTGTCTTTGTAGTGAACGTCGTGCTGTGTTTAAATTGCCTGCTTGTTGCTACTATAACGGTTGATGAACGAGTAATAAATTTCATAACATTTAAGGAATTATGGTTCGCCTCACCGCTTCGCTGATTAATATGTCAGCACAGAAACATAATCCTGTTAGGGACTGGGAACTGGATTTGAGAGGTATGTTTTTGTATGCAGTGCACAGCCTGCAAATAATCTACCTATTATCGAGCATTCGTAAACTCGACTTTTCAGTCATACAATCATACATACAGTCACAGACCTTAAAAGTGTTAAATTACAATATACAATAGTATAGTCAGTAAATTCAGTTTTAAGTTGGGTATATTAGTTGATACTGGAATTGTAATAGATACTTTAAACTAATCTTAAACTCGCTTAAATGTATTATTATTAATATTTAAATAGTATGAAAATGAATATATGATATAATTATAATTATTATAATGATATGTCGTATCAGTATCATTGTACATTGTATGTTAAGACAGTTAAGTATGTATGTTTAAGTTTAGATTTATCATTTATTTTTGACAGATCAAAATCGTGAATGACCATATTCAGCATACTATGCCTCGATGTTTCTGTGTGTGTGTGTGTGTGTGCATTAGTTGTTATTGTTCTTTGAGCTTGTTGTTGTGAAGATATAAGTAATAATAATAAATCTTGTTTGCCACTTTGCAAAAGTAAAAAAAAAAGTGTTATATGACATAACAGTTAGTTGTGCATCCTTTACAGGATGTTGCAGAGCCAGAACCAATCCCAGCAGTTGTTTGGCTGTTTATTGTTTGTTTCTGGGAAAGTTTTACTTTTAGTAGTTTGCCATTGTGTTCTGAACGGACGGTTAGCTCTCGGCCTCGGTACCACCGTTGAAACCAGTGCAAGACATATACTATAGCCCGCAGCAGGGATTGAACCTGTCATTACGAAATGCTTTCATAGTGCCCACCTAAGCCACAGACGCAGATGTTTTATGACATACATAACTTTTATGCCTGATTAAGCATTTTTAAACAGTATAGGGAAATAAATAGATGGTTACTGCTGACACTGGGAAATGCAACAGTAGCTCATTCGAGTTGTGGTAAAAATTTTGGATTGTAAATTGTATCCTTTAGTTGTAAACAGGGGAGTAAGGAAAGGGATAATTTAGTCCTAAATGAAATGTTTTCCATTATCGGTTAAAACACTAGAATATGGAATAGCTGCTTGGGGCACAGCAGCAAAATCAAATTTTCAGAAAGTCTCACTGATGCAAAACCATGCTCTTCGTATTATGACAAGGGCAATGCGCTTCACGCCCATATCAGACATAAGGATATGTGGCAACATATAGAGCATCCATATCTGGAGAGAATGGCAACAGATAGAACATCCATATCTGGGAAGAATGGCAACAGATAGAACATCCATATCTGGGGAGAATGGCAACAGATAGAACATCCATATCTGGGGAGAATGGCAACAGATAGAACATCCATATCTAGAGAGAATGGCAACAGATAGAACATCCATATCTAGAGAGAATGGCAACAGATATAACATCCATATCTAGAGAGAATGGCATCAGATAGAACATCCATATCTAGAGAGAATGGCATCAGATAGAACATCCATATCTAGAGAGAATGGCAACAGATATAACATCCATATCTAGAGAGAATGGCAACAGATATAACATCCATATCTGGGAAGAATGGCAACAGATATAACATCCATATCTGGGAAGAATGGCAACAGTTAGAGCATCCATATCTAGAGAGAATGGCAACAAATAAAACATCCATATCTAGAGAGAATGGCTCAGCTATGAGTAAGCAGAGGGCCTGGATGACTTTCTGCCTGCAGAAAGCACAGGCAGATTTTCTATCAATATCTTGACTTTGTTGGTCGCTAGTGGGGGAAACAGATGTGTACAGTTGTGTCCAGAGTCTGGTGATGTCCATGCAGTTGGCATGTTGTGACACAAGACAAATTGGAGATAAACTGAACCTTTCATGTGAAATGTATTTTTGGCTTTTCTAATTCTCTGTTTGACTTTTGCTATCATTTCATTTTTTTTAAACCTATGTTTAAACAGGATACAGAATACCAGTTATAGAGAATCTAGGTGCAACTTTGGTAAGTAATTTTTGATGTAAATCATAATCTTCTTAACATTCACCGGCTGCTGTAGTGGCTCTATTTACATGCACTGTTGGTTCCTTGCCTCTCAGGCGGATGCACTCTGACTGTGAAGGTTACATCCCTAATGAGTCTCTTTTTACAACATTCTGGTTGGTGGCGGAGAGGGGGGTGAGTCTATTCCCTCTCCCCCACCATCTTGTTTCAGCCGTCACGGATGCCCCAACTCTAACTTCCTCAGAGGTTGAATTTGGTCTGGCAATCAGATTAAGATTTTGTAGAAGTCCAAGGGAGAAAAATGGCAGGCACATTAGACCTATGATGTTTCACTTCTTTTCTTTAGCAGCCATTTGCTGTGCAGTTGTTTCAGCATAAGTCACAGATGAGTTGGGGCTCTTGAGCTCTTCACTGGCACCCATTTGTTTTGTGGGGTCACTCCCTGCAGTTTGCCATTTTTGACTGTAACGATTTGTTGGAAAATGTTGCCAAGGGCAGAATTTCCTACTGATAAACAGGTCAACATTCACTCAGAAGTGGTAGCTTGTGTAAGAACTGAATGTCTATGGGAATGACCTCAAGAAAATGTGATTGGATTGCTGCTGCCGACAAATGTAGTTGTAGGCATGCAGACTTACAAAAGTAGACTAATTCACTTGTTTCGCACTGTCCTGCCTGATTGAAAGGCCTCCACCTGAAATTTTTTCAGGGCATACAGTTACTCACACTCCTTGCTTACAAAAGCAGAATGGGAGAGTGAGTTAAAGAGTGAACAAAATAAGACTAAATATTTAACAACAAAAGGACAAGAAATGTGTTACAAAAAATAAATTTTTCCTCTTCATATACGTATACTACTGTTGGTCTCATGGCTGGGACACAAACATACTTTTGTGAAGCTCCGGCTGAAGTAGACCTCTGCAGGGTCTGTTACTTCTGAACTTGTCTAGGGTACAGGCCAAGCATAGCTTTGGCTTACTCGGTATACTGGCAGATGACACGGCCAGGTGATTTTGCCACTGGAGGGGCTACCAGACTCGTCAAATTAACTGCTGTAGCCAAAAGTCGGATGTTCTCAATCTATGACATGATACATGCAGCTCTTTGTCGAGTTGTTTTCCTTTCCCTGGCAGGGGGGAAGCATGGCAGAAGTGGAATTGTTTCAAGTTATTTTGTCATTTTCGCTTTGAAATGAGAGTGGGGGAAATTGCACATTTATGCTGTTCTCGTTACTAATGTGTGAACTTTAGGAAAAAGTTGCATGCAGGCTGACCTCTTAGTGACCTGGGCCACATAAGTCAGCTGTGATTCCAGGGCTGTAATGTTGTGTTTGTTGTGGGCAGTTAATTTAAGGACAAAATGTTTATCCCGCCTTCTCGTGACAGACTGGCAAAAGCTGGGTAGTCAAGTAAGACGTGCTCTATAGTGTTTTGTTGAACCACAACCATACGTGGCAGGTCATGTGGTTTGTAATTCAGGGTCTAATTTATGAGTGCACAGTCAGCTTAAGTTACATCACTGTGTTCGGAGGATTTATTAGGGAGTAAAGGTTATAGCACCTTTCTTTTGGTTTTCAGACAGTCCTGCGATAGTAGCACCATGAAAGAGATTGGGGCCTTACAACATATCTTCATAGTTAGCAGCAGTTGTGGAGACACCCTTTTTTCTTTTACCATTATTAGATTCAACATCACTTATATATTTGTTCATTGCAGGATCAGTTTGACACAATTGACTTCACAGATAATGACATTCGTAAGTTGGACAAGTTCCCACTGCTGAAACGGTTGAAGCATGTGCTTCTCAGCAACAATAGGATTGTGTAAGTAGACTTTTTATTTAATCCTTTTTTTTTTTTTTTTCAAACAAAAAGAGATTTTTTTTATCTCAGCGACTTTGGTATCAGTGTCTTAGGCGTTACAAATGCGTTTCATAATTCGGGGGTGCCAGATTCTCTGGGATTGAGTCTTTGGTTTGGCAGCAGTTTGCTTTGGGTTTCAATAGTGGTTTTGAGAGCCGACTCTTTAGTAAGCAGTGGCACATTACTCAACGTAAATTTACTGAAACAGCCGATTAAAAGAAATGCTGGGGATGGACAGAGTACAAGACACTGGCACGGTTATGGTGATTTCTGTCAACTCTTAAGGTTTTCGTTTGAAGCATTATTGTATATTTAAGACTTTTGTGCGATGCCTATCATTTGCTGATTAATACAGCTTGGTTTCCTTTGATTTGATTTAAGAACCGACACAGCACTCGGGACATTCCCATAAGCACTCCGTCCCCATCTTCAGCAGCCAGCGAAGAGTGCTGATGCTAATGGTGCCAGTAGCATTCTGATTAAATGTCCGTTTTGCCTTTCCTCTGAGCCTCGAGCATCTGCCAGAATCTCTCTCATCCCCCCCCCCCCCCCCCCCCCCCACCCCCCCACCCCCCCCCCCCCCCCCCCCCCCCCCCCCCCCCCCCCCTCTGCATCAATCTCACCATTGGTTTCCATGAGAATACTAACGAGAGACTAAATGCAGTGAGGCTTTTAGTTTCATGGAAAATGATTTTTCACTGAATAGACTGAATACCCTGGGTGTACCAGTTGTAGCCGTGAGACAGGAAAATCATGCAGCAGCCACCCGTCGCCTCATCACTCAGAACAGAATAGGGGTTGTTAGCCTACAAATACTTAGAGACATTCTTAGGAAGAGATCAGAGCACTTATGGTCATGTGCAGTGAAGATGATCTTGAAATGAACAAGAACTAACTGGCCAGACCTGGGATCTCTACTGTGTGCAGAGAGAGAGAGAGCATGTCTGCAGAATGTGTTCGGTATTCTTTGGTGCCTCTCTACATGAGCAAAGTTCTCAGTCCTTAATCTTCAGTTTCTTATGCATTCTGTGTGAATTATTGGTTTAGTTCCTTCTAGACTATAGTCTCATTATAAGTCTACTTTTGTATAGTAGAGCACTATCGGACAAAAAAGTTAAAGTAAAAACATATTGTTTTAGAAAGAACAATAGTGGAACACATGATTTCTCCAGTTTGCTGGTTGTCACCTAGTTTTTTTTTTTATAATTTGTTTCTTCTGATAACATCTCCAAGAAAATCTGGACTGTAAACTTCTTATTTCTGTCTAATCAGTTTACACTGGCCTATGCCAGTCTTACATTCCCACATTGTGCCAGGGGCTTCGGGTGAAGGAAAGCATCAGGGAAAAAGCTAGCCATATCCTAGGAAATAACTTAAAATAAGTGTTGCTTATTCTTTACAGGACATTGTGGGGCCAACCCCAGCAGTATCTGGCTGTACAAGTAGATAAAAGAGCAGTGCTCTTCTGATTCTTCAGTATACTTTGTTACAAATATACTGTGTTACTTTCCCTTTGGAGTAAACAAGACAGGCTGAGAGATTTATTATGCTGCAGCAAGGGCAGCACATGGTGTATACAATACTGTCCCTCCGATTGGGTTTTGGGTCCCCATTGTGGGGAAGACAAGAATAAACCCATCCACTGGTAAGAGTTGACTAACTGGGGGCTTCCTTCAAAGTCGCAGTGCATCTGCCTGAGAGAGGCAAGGAATCAACAATCTGCCAACAGATAAGTCAGATCTGCAAAACAGATGTACACGCAACACTCAGGTTCTGGGACAACACTTAAAAGTCCAGAGATGGACAACCAGAACTTTCTGCTGGAGTTGAAAGCCAGTGAACACGAAGAAGATGGAGACAGTACTGTCTAGGCTTTGAGCTATAGAGAAGAGAAGCTTGATCTCAGACTTTGAATGCCCATTGCCATGGCCTGTGATTCTCCTCTAAAGCACAATGTCATCATCATTAGGTGCCTTGCCGACTAGCGTGGGCGATCATGCCTCTCCACAATATGCGATATCCTGCAGCATGTTTCAGTTTGTGTGCTGACACACCTCCATGCCATGCAACAAGACTGTCAAGAATCTTATCTCGTCTTCCTCTATCCCTCCTTCCAGATCTTTCCAGTGGTCACATGTTCTATTTTTCCTCTTCTCATAACATGGCCGAAAAATGGTGACTCTCTTCTTCTGATGTCTGTGATAGTTGTCTTTGGGCTCCCGCCTCTTTCAAAACCTCTTAGTTGCTCTTTATGGCTGTCCTAAGTATTCTAAGCATTCTTCTGTAAAACCACATCTCTGAGGCCTCAAGAAATTGTTTGACCTGCCTACCGATTGTCCAGGATTCACAGCTATGTGTTAAAACTGGATGTCTGTAGCAAACAAGAAATCTTTTTCTAACTAAGCACAATATAACACTATCGTTTGGAAAGACTTTAAGATGCCAGCAAAAATCAGTTTACAGTTTTCATCAGTTGGAAGACTTGTCTCCAAGATTAAGAAATATTACTGATGTTTATGTTTTATTCTGTGCCTTTTTTCTGCAGACGCATCTCAGAAAACTTACAAGAGAACCTTCCTAGTCTTGAAAGTTTGATACTGACAAACAACAGTTTAAAAGAGTTATCAGATATTGATCCTCTTGGCACGATTACCACACTCAAATATCTCAGGTTAGGTTTGTTTTTCTATTCTGGGGGGAAAGTGGGTTCAACAGTCATTTTTACGCTATGTTTAATTAAAGAACTCAGGTAACGTGGGAAATGCCATCCTAGCTGCACCTTCTTGCGGTAGAGGATAGAGACACATTGGTTTGGCCAGTGCATTCTTCAGGGCCGAGTATCTTCTGGATAAATAGGACACCTTCAGTGTGCTGTCTGCATCACAGAGCAGGGTACTCACTCACTGAACCCTGGCAAGCTGTAAAGACTGCTGAAGGTTGAGGTGCTCATCCATGTGGATGTGGAAAGCAAGTGAGGACTACCACATCATATATCCCCAAAAGCTTTCAACAGAAGACAAAAAGATGTTAGCAGCAGTGGCGACTGCACAAAAGATGTCAGAAGACACCTTGATTTAGCAATGCCAGAAGGCTAATACTTTTCAATAGAAAAAAAATACACGATGGACAAAGAAGCACTGGTGATAATTAACTTTGTTTTTTGTTTATTTAGTATTGTTTGCTTTGATTGTGCAGTTAAAAACTCAGCATGAGCTTCAAGAAGTTGAAAAACCAAGATTCGTATTCAAAAATGTGTTTTGACTGGGGACTTCTAGTAGTACATCCCTGAAGGGGTCAACATTTAGTTCATGTTAACCAAGTGTTTGTCTTTAGCGAGTTTTTTGATAACGAGGTTTGACTGTAATTGTGTGTGCTTGTTTTTGCAGCAAAGCTGCAGTTTTTAAGCCATTTCATCAACACATCCGACTTTAGGCATTTATTGACTGGTTAAGCTTTCCTATTACCTGATTTCTAAACTGTAAACAAATCCATGAGGTAGGAATTAGTTTTATACTGCTGTTTATTGAAAAGTTGTTTTAAGACTGCATGAATTTCAAGTAAACTTTTGCTTTCCTTTTTTTTTTTCCAGCTTACTTGGGAACCCGGTTGCAGCCAAGAAAAATTACAGATATTATGTTATTCACAAAATCCCCAGCCTGAGGGTCTTGGATTTCTGTAGAGTCAAAGAGAAGGTGAATTGGTTTGGTAATTCTCCGTGTGGGTTCAGGGCTCCATTGTGGAGGACAACGAGAATGGACCCACTGCCTCCCCAGCAAGCATGTTGCAAGAGTCGATTAATTAATTGGGGATTTCATTTGAAGTCGAAGTGTATCTACCAGAGCAGCCAACTGCACGCAGATAAGCCAGTAAAGCAAATGGATACCCAAAACAGTACAGTACAAGACGGGTTCTGTTCAGCACAAAGAAACATCTCATAAAAGCATATTCATTCCAACTCTATGCTGCCAGTGCCAGTCATGGTCACTCACAACAGATCAGAAATGAAAATAAGTAACCATGGAAATGAGGTGTCTGACAAGGGCTTCACGAGTGATCAGAAGAGATAAAATTAGGAATGAGGTCATAAGAGAAAAAGTCGACACAGATTCTAAATTACAAAGTACAGCAAATTGAATGGTTTTCCCACTGAGAGAGAATGCCCTATGACACCATACAGTACATCAAAAGAAGAGATGGATGAAGTGCACGAAGTAGGCCGCAAACAAGATGGAAAGATAACATCAGAGAAACACAACAACAGCACGATGTGCCTGTAGTTGAGGTGACCAGAAGAGCAAGAAACAGAACCATATATCTCCCTCAACACCCAAAACGGTTACAGAGGAAGTGAAGAAGAAGAAGAATGATCTGTATATAATATTCTCGGGTAGCCCTATCACTGACTGTAGCCCTTTTGTGACTGATTTAAAACAAAGTTGTAACTGATTTTTTTTAAATGCACCGAAGTAAATGTTGGGTCACCCCCCCCCCCCTCCACACTCACTTTAAGGATGTGTTATAAGCTGACTAATTAAGAATGTTTCTTTGGAAGTCAGAGCGCATCTGCCTGAGAGGCGAGAAACCAACAGTCTGCATACCAATAAGTCAGATCTGTAAAATGGATGTATGTGCAGAGGTTCTGGAACAAGGCTTAAGTCTAGAAATGGAAGAACCAGAATGTTCCTACAGTCTACAGCTGGTGAACGTGAAGAAGAAGCTTTGTCAATGCCCCCATCTTAAGAGTTTTCACTTCTTGGCTACTTTTAAACCTAGTTATGCTTGACATATTTTTTAATGTGCCGAGTTGTATAATGGATCCTTTTCACATCCTCCTGTTATCTCAGGAAGTACTTGATGGAAGTATGAAGGATCCTCTGTGTGCTATTTCTGATGTGTTGTATAAGAAGGTCTTCATTTCTCTTAAAGAAATTCTTGGTGCTGCCATTGCATCTTTTCTGTGGCCTTTCCTCTGTCCTGTTAATTATATCTGTGTTTCCTAAACTTTTCTTAGCCTCGCTGCCCTTTTTCAATGAAATTTTTGTTCGCTCTGACTTAAGTTAAAGTATGACTATTCGTATGTAAGAGATTAAAAAAAATAACTTGTGTATCTTTGAATATTTTGCGGCGCCCTGTAAAGAGGTCGAGGCTTTCCGCGGTGCCGCGAGGCACAATTTTGAAATCACTGCATTATATACAATAAAGCTGAAGTAAAGAACCCCTTTGCATGCCATTGGGGGGGGGGGGGATGTATAGTGCTATACCTATATTTTTATATTTTAAAATCTAATCATCTGGATGGGTAATGTAGTCGTCATCAAGCCAGCCACAGACACTTCTCATATGTTTACCTGGTACCTGTTTAGTCTGGATTGGCCTAGGAGCCAAGGTTATATATTTGAAGAAAAATCCAGCTATTGAAAACTAGATTTAAACAAAACATTATAAAAGCAAGCCCTTAAGGTGCCATATACAGTGAGACAAGAAAAGTTACATCATATTCTGCGTTTTTTCATTTTCTAACAGGAGAGAGAAGCAGCAGCAAAATTGTTCAAAAAGAAGAAGAGTCAACCCGCACAAGCAACAGCAGCAGGAGATAAAACAAAGGCAAAGACATTCACTCCGGGCGAGAAACTGACTCCTGTTAAACCGGTTCCCTCAGGACCTCCTAAACAGGACATTGCAGCAATCAGGGTAAGAGTGTTTGGTTGTTATTTTCTGTCTTATTGGTTAATGTGCAGAGATCTGGGTTCTTGTTAGCTAATGTGTGGAGATCTGGGTTCTTGTTAGGTTAGTTAATGTGCGAAGATCTGGGTTCTTGTTAGTTAATGTGTGGAGATCTGGGTTCTTGTTAGTTAATGTGTGGAGATCTGGGTTCTTGTTGGCTAATGTGTGGAGGTCTGGGTTCTTGTTAGTTAATGTGCGGAGATCTGGGTTCTTGTTGGCTAATGTGTGGAGATCTGGGTTCTTGTTAGTTAATGTGCAGAGATCTGGGTTCTTGTTGGCTAATGTGCGGAGATCTGGGTTCTTGTTGGCTAATGTGTGGAGATCTGGGTTCTTGTTAGTTAATGTGCGGAGATCTGGGTTCTTGTTAGCTAATGTGCGGAGATCTGGGTTATTGTTAGCTTATGTGTGGAGATCTAGGTTCTTGTTAGTTGGTGTGCGGAGATATGGGTTCTCATTTTTGTGTGTGTTCTCCGGCTTTTAGATCTGGCGGAAAGTTCTAGGTGTTTGTTTGCCTCAAAACTGTAGTCTTGTTTTGGAACCCAAGTGTTGCGTTCACATCTATTTCACATATTTAGCTCATTTGTATGCAGACTCTTGGTTTCTTGGCTGTTGGGCAGATCTACTCCGACGTCTAAGGATGCCCCTCAATTTGTCGACTCCTACAACATTCTTATTGGGGAGGCAGTGAATTTGTTCTTGTTTTCCCCACAATGGGACCCCAGAACCCACACAGGAAGACCCGGGTTCAAATCCTCTGTAATGTGATTGGTTTGTTTCTGTTGGTTGGAGGGGGGGGGGGGGGGGTAAAAATGTGATTTGCCTGTCTTCATTTCAGGGATAACTGTTCCCTATTCCTCACACAGAAATCACCATGTGTGGTTTTCTTCTGACAATTAATCAAGACTGTTGACTGTGTCCACAAACTTTATTTGGGGTCTTATCTTTCTGCATGTGTGCAAAGGAGAATTGAATGTGAATGTTCATAATCAGCTATTAGATTGCTGATCACAAATACATCCTGAACAAAATACACACTGAAGTACCAAATGTCTTCTTCCTCTGCATTCTTTCAAGAATGTAATTTTGTTGTGCTCATTGACAGCATGGCTGCGATATTTGCACTTATCTGCCCAAATGTCAAACTTCTTCAAGCAGTTGCTGTCCAGATAAGCCTTCCTGTGTGAAATATTCAATATTACTTTCCATTGTCTGTTTGTAGCTTTCTTTCTTGTGGTGCTTTAACAGTCTTTTGTTGGTGTTCAGCGGCTGTAAACTGGTGGAAAGTTCTGGTTGTTCGCCCACTTCTGGTCTTATTCCAGAACTTTTAGTGGCCATCCGTTTTACAGTTATGGATTATTTGTGTGTGCAGACTGTTGTTGAGTTGAGTCAAGAATTTACATCACAGCACTCGAAGCATTTCCATGCATGCTCCGTCCTCATCTTCAGCAGCCAGCGCAGAATTCTAATACTGATGGTACCAGTCACAATCTGGTCCATCTTGCCTTTCCTCTGAGTGTAGTGAGCCGGCCAGACCCTCTGGTTACACCCAGATGCTTCTATCTCTACTGATTCTGTTGCAGACTGTTGTTTCCTTGCCTGTCGAGCAGACAGACTCTAACTTCGAAAGAAACACCCTTTGTCGACTTTTATGTCATGCTTGTTAGAGGGGCAGTGGGTCTGTTCTTTTTCCCTCCCATGATGGGACCCCAGAACCCACACTGGGAGCTGTAACTAATATTGTGTGGCTGCATCTTTACTCCTCACATGATGGGACCCCAGAACCCACACTGGGAGCTGTAACTAATATTGTGTGGCTGCATCTTTACTCCTCACATGATGGGACCCCAGAACCCACACTGGGAGCTGTAACTAATATTGTGTGGCTGCATCTTTACTCCTCACATGATGGGACCCCAGAACCCACACTGGGAGCTGTAACTAATATTGTGTGGCTGCATCTTTACTCCTCACATGATGGGACCCCAGAACCCACACTGGGAGCTGTAACTAATATTGTGTGGCTGCATCTTTACTCCTCACATGATGGGACCCTAGAACCCACACTGGGAGCTGTAACTAATATTGTGTGGCTGCATCTTTACTCCTCACATGATGGGACCCTAGAACCCACACTGGGAGCTGTAACTAATATTGTGTGGCTGCATCTTTACTCCTCACATGATGGGACCCTAGAACCCACACAGAGCTGTAACTAATATTGTGTGGCTGCATCTTTACTCCTCACATGATGGGACCCTAGAACCCACACAGAGCTGTAACTGTAATATTGTGTGGCTGCATCTTTACTCCTCACATTTGCGTGTCCACAGAAAGCAATCGCTAATGCCAAGACTTTGGAAGAAATCGATAGACTAAACCAGCTTTTGAAGTCTGGTCAGATACCAGGGACGAATGCAGAGCCCAGGAAAGCATCCGCAGGGAAGGGTGAGGAATGACTGTTTAGTATTTTGTGTGATTATCTAGAGAATGTTTAGTGTTTTTGTTGGCCGTGACGTAGGTATCATTTACTTCAAATTTGCTTTGCTGAAGGAAATCACATATAATAAGGAGGTAGATTGAAATACAAATAGAAACAACAAGCACTTAGTTGTTAAAAAAAATAATCAGTTTTTGCTAGAAGGGATAATTAAATCTGTTGCTTTTATTCCGATTTCTGATGAGAAACTTAAAGGGGTGGTAGAGTGAAGTCATAGGTATTTTTAATGTGTTGCTGCTTTTGTACAGAGCAAAGAAAATATAATTTTTATGATAAGTCGAACCAGAGGTTTTTATTCCTAAACATTCAGGCAGTTTTTCTGTGTGGTATAATCACAAATACTCATCCATGGGATAAGGTTTCTAGATACAAAACAGTTATCACTTGGCTTAGATTGGAGCTGGAATTAGAGATTTATGTCCTGTCCTCCTCGTAACTTCAGTGCACTCTCCGTCATTGTGCTTTTCAGGCTGTATTTATAATCAGCATGCTTTGGTTACATATTGGAAACATAACTGGCTGTAACAGTGGAACAGTTTGGCGATATTTTGTAGTTAAATTAAACGTTACAGGGCAGAGAAAATTACAGATTGAAGACAAAATATTGTTCTCTTTAATTTATTAGAATCTTAAAAAAATCTAGCAGTAGGCTTAGCACTTAACTCATGTGATACAGTTAGCACTGAACTCATGTGATAAATGTCCTGGGAAAGTAAAGACAGCCGGCGTAATGCTGACCACATTACCCACAGACTGCTGATGGTCTGTAAAAATATGGGATGCTCTGCCCATATGCCCGATGCGCCGAAAGGCGTGAAAAGGGATCTTTACTTTACTTTTTACATGTGATAAAGTTAGCACTTAACTCATGTGATAAAGTTAGCACTTAACTCGCTTGATAAAGTTAACACTTAACTCGCTTGATAAAGTTAACACTTAACTTACATGATAAAGAATCATTCCTGAGATTTACAATCGTTGCATGGCCAACAGTTTGAACCTTTTTAGTTTTGATAATGTATACAGATTTAGGTTTGCTGAACTAGCCAATTTGCATTTGACTTACCAGCAAAGTTCTTCTGTCTCTGGCAATTGCTTTCCGTGCTGATGGCAAGAGGTATTTGTGATAAGATACTTGCAGGTTTGTGGGTATAAAAAAAGGCTGTTTAATTTATGTTGCAGTTGAAAGAATTCTTTTATACATTTCAGTGTTTATACCAATTTTTAAATGCATAGATTTTAAGATTACATGAATTGTTTCAAGCAGTTCTGACTAATCCTGTGAATCAAGAGGTAAGGAAAAGATGCTGACCTTGGCTAAGGCACACACTGAGAAAACCTGATAACAGTATATTAGAAAGTCCAGGGATGCACCAGAACCTAAGGGTCAGAGAAATAAAGGGAGGCCAAAGATCCTGGACTTTTCCATGATATTGAAACAGTTGCACAGAATAGAGTGGAGTGGAAGAATATACTGCGACCTTTTTGTGACATATAAATGGCACAATCGAATGTTGATATGATGTATACATGGCACAGTAGAATGATGATGTGACAAATAAATGACAATAGAATGATGATTGTACATGTAAAATGACTGTTGTATTTTTGTTGACCTGGTGCTGTTATGGTGTCTGTTGACTCGAGTGTGTGTAATTATTTTAAAGAATTTTTAATGCAAAAGTGGTCTAGCTTGAGAGCAACAGTTATAAGTTGGTGCAGCAGCTGGGGGGAAGCACGTTCATGGTAAGTTTCAAGCTGTTGTGCCATGTCGTCTATATCTTTTCTTTATGAAGAACAGTTTCCCCGGCGTAAATTATATTTAAACTCCGGTGAATCAAGAGATGAGGTAGTGGTGCTGGGAAGGATAAACTTTGAAAATACCTGGTTATAATTAACTAGATGGTCCTTGTATTGAAGCTCACAGAGCCGAAGAAATAAAGGAGACCAACAATAACTTGAAGAGAAGAATTAAAGATGGGTAATGAGGTGGGAACATCAAAGAATGAAATGGTTTGGTCATGTGATCAGAATAGAAGAAAGCCAGTCAGCAGCTGGAGCACAGGTCAAGAGACCGACCGAGGAAGTAATGGAGCCACTATAGAATTGCATAAGCAGTAGGACAAGATAGAAAACTACATCTTAACTTTTCTCTGTGACGCTTCATGGCATAAACAGGAGGACAAAAGACAAGAAACATCTAACTTCCCTCTGTGACGCTTCATGGCATAAACAGTAGGACAAAAGACAAGAAACATCTAACTTCCCTCTGTGACACTTCATGGCATAAACAGGAGGACAAAAGACAAGAAACATCTAACTTTCCTCTGTGACACTTCATGGCATAAACAGTAGGACAAAAGACAGGAAATTACATCTAACTTCCCTCTGTGACGCTTCATTGCATAAACAGGAGGACAAAAGACAAGAAACATCTAACTTTCCTCTGTGACGCTTCATGGCATAAACAGGAGGACAAAAGACAAGAAACATCTAACTTTCCTCTGTGACGCTTCATGGCATAAACAGTAGGACAAAAGACAAGAAACATCTAACTTCCCTCTGTGACACTTCATGGCATAAACAGGAGGACAAAAGACAGGAAACATCCAACTTCCCTCTGTGACACTTCATGGCATAAACAGGAGGACAAAAGACAAGAAACATCTAACTTTCCTCTGTGACGCTTCGTGGCATAAACAGTAGGACAAAAGACAGGAAATTACATGTAACTTCCCTCTGTGACGCTTCATGGCATAAACAGTAGGACAAAAGACAGGAAACATCTAACTTTCCTCTGTGACGCTTCATGGCATAAACAGTAGGACAAAAGACAGGAAACTACATCTAACTTCCCTCTGTGACGCTTCATGGCATAAACAGTAGGACAAAAGACAGGAAATTACATCTAACTTCCCTCTGTGACGCTTCATTGCATAAACAGGAGGACAAAAGACAAGAAACATCTAACTTCCCTCTGTGACGCTTCATGGCATAAACAGTAGGACAAAAGACAAGAAACATCTAACTTCCCTCTGTGACACTTCATGGCATAAACAGGAGGACAAAAGACAAGAAACATCTAACTTCCCTCTGTGACACTTCATGGCATAAACAGGAGGACAAAAGACAAGAAACATCTAACTTTCCTCTGTGACGCTTCATGGCATAAACAGTAGGACAAAAGACAGGAAACTACATCTAACTTCCCTCTGTGACACTTCATGGCATAAACAGGAGGACAAAAGACAAGAAACATCTAACTTCCCTCTGTGACACTTCATGGCATAAACAGGAGGACAAAAGACAAGAAACATCTAACTTTCCTCTGTGACGCCTCATGGCATAAACAGTAGGACAAAAGACAGGAAATTACATCTAACTTCCCTCTGTGACGCTTCATTGCATAAACAGGAGGACAAAAGACAAGAAACATCTAACTTTCCTCTGTGACGCTTCATGGCATAAACAGTAGGACAAAAGACAGGAAACTACATCTAACTTCCCTCTGTGACGCTTCATGGCATAAACAGTAGGACAAAATACAGGAAACTACATGTAACTTCCCTCTGTGACGCTTTATGGCATAAACAGTAGGACAAAAGACAGGAAATTACATCTAACTTCCCTCTGTGACGCTTCATTGCATAAACAGGAGGACAAAAGACAAGAAACATCTAACTTTCCTCTGTGACGCTTCATGGCATAAACAGTAGGACAAAAGACAAGAAACATCTAACTTCCCTCTGTGACACTTCATGGCATAAACAGGAGGACAAAAGACAAGAAACATCTAACTTCCCTCTGTGACACTTCATGGCATAAACAGGAGGACAAAAGACAAGAAACATCTAACTTTCCTCTGTGACACTTCATGGCATAAACAGGAGGACAAAAGACAAGAAACATCTAACTTTCCTCTGTGACGCTTCATGGCATAAACAGTGGGACAAAAGACAGGAAATTACATCTAACTTCCCTCTGTGACGCTTCATTGCATAAACAGGAGGACAAAAGACAAGAAACATCTAACTTTCCTCTGTGACGCTTCATGGCATAAACAGTAGGACAAAAGACAGGAAACTACATCTAACTTCCCTGTGACGCTTCATGGCATAAACAGTAGGACAAAATACAGGAAACTACATGTAACTTCCCCCTGTGACGCTTCATTGCATAAACAGGAGGACAAAAGACAAGAAACATCTAACTTTCCTCTGTGACGCTTCATGGCATAAACAGTAGGACAAAAGACAAGAAACATCTAACTTCCCTCTGTGACGCTTCATGGCATAAACAGTAGGACAAAAGACAAGAAACATCTAACTTCCCTCTGTGACACTTCATGGCATAAACAGGAGGACAAAAGACGGGAAACTACATCTAACTTCCCTCTGTGACACTTCATGGCATAAACAGGAGGACAAAAGACAGGAAACTACATGTAACTTCCCTCTGTGACACTTCATGGCATAAACAGGAGGACAAAAGACAGGAAGCTACGTCTACCAACATCCCTCTATGACGCTTCATGGCATAATCAGGAGAAAAAAATACAGGAAATGTCTAACTACTCTCTGTGACGCTTCATGGCATAAACATGAGGACAAAAGACAGAAAACTACATCTTACTTCCCTCTGCGATGCTTCACGGCATAAACAATAGGACAAATGACAGGAAGCTATGTCTACCAACTTCCCTCTGCGATGCCTTATGGCATAATAAGAAGGACAAAATACAGGAAGCTTCATCAGTCTCCTCTCTGCGATTCTTTATGGTATAAGCAATAGGACAAAGGGCAAGAAAACTGCATACTCAATGGGGCGTCCTGCCATATACTCAAAGGGACACAACCTGAAAAAGGATGGAGAGCACTGGTATATGGCATAAGCAGTCAAACAAAAAAGGATGGAGAGCACTGGTATATGGCATAAGCAGTCAAACAAAAAAGGAAAAAGCAGATAAAACAACTTAGCTTGAGTTAGTTGATGGCCTCAGCTCTATAAGAGGAATAAAGAAATTTAATTAGACATAAATTTCTAAAGCCTGGGATTTTTCATCCAAAAGACTATTAATATAATATTATATATTTATATATCTGGTTCATTAACTGAAATGAGACATATGCCAGTTATTGGTTCTGTCATTCGTTGTCCTGGTTTTAAATGTCATATGGGTTTAAGAAGGAATGGAAATTAATTAGTCGGGCAATCATTACTGTTCTCTGCTAGCTTTGTCTAAATTGAATAATTCTTTTGAAGTTTCCCGTCTATATTAATTGTTTGGCTAACAGCACAATAACTCAATGTGTCTTTTTTTTTTCTCATCTTTTCAGAAACGAATAAACGAAAAGATCATTTTGAAGAAGAGGAGGAGGAGGAAGAGGATGAAGAAGAAGACAAGAATCATAGCTCAGCCCCAAAAAGAAGGGCAACAAGTGAAAAGGAGGAAGAGATGGAGACCGTTTGAGTTATAGCTAACATCTGTTTACAGTTGAATGTTATTTGTTGCATTAACTGGTTGTATATTACATTTCAGGGGTGCAGACTGGATTTTGAAATGCTTTTTTTTTGGCAAGCTTATGGTTAATTTATGTTTAGTAGGAAAACTGTTATTTTTTTTTTTAAACAGGTCTTAACTCTAGGTTTATTCAAAGCTGCTTTATTTTTTTTAAAGAAGCCAATAGAGATTGTCCCTTATTGTGGCCTTTCTCGCATGTCTCATCTCAGATCTGTAAGCTCACTTTTGGGGCTCTTGTCCGTGATTCACAAACATATTGGCCTACTTGATGCATAAAGTCCCCTCTGTCAAGCATCGATGGTGATTACAGGAGACTGGTTTCTGAGATGAATTTCAGGAAAAGTAAGTATATTACTCCACACAAGACTGCTTTAATATTAGTTGGAGTTATTAGTTCCTTCTGTTGTACTAAAATCAGGTTTCTATGCACTGCAAATGGAAGTTTGACTTTTATTATCGTCACTAGGTATTGAAATAGCTACCATAAGCCTGTATATTCTGTTTGTATCCAGCGTCTGAAGTTCTGCTTCTCTTTTTCAGCTTTCACCTTGTCTAGAACATGGGGGCCTGTGAGGACTGCAATCACCGACCTGAGTTGTTATCTTTTAGAACAGACAGTTGTATTCTGTATCAGATATTTTGTCTGCGATTGACAGGTACTACATTTTGATACTGAGAACAGCTGATAAGCTCTCAGATACTACACAAATGGTTGATACAGAGTCACTTACTACACTTTACTGGTTTTTAAATGGAGAATGCGATTTTTTTTTCTTGTATAAATTGTGTGGCATATACATGCACACAGTTTGTGTGTATGTGTGCATGTTTCACAACGTTAACTATCTTATATACTTATTTTCTTTTGATTGCAAGCGCTTTTTTTTTTTAAAGCTATTTCAGGTTGTCACTTTTCTTTTGGCTACAAGACTAGCTAGCTATCTCAGGGGATTTATTTCATTTGCAAGACTTATTGGCTATCTTAAGGTATTACTTTTTCTTTCAGTTGCAAGACTAGTTTGCTATCTCAGCGTAAATAATTTGTCTTTCAGATGCAAGATTTTTAGCTGTCTCAGCTTATAATTTTCTTAAATTGCAAGGCTTTCAGCTATCTCATGGTGTTACTTCTCTTTTAGTTGCAGGACTGGTTAGCTGTCTAGATGTATTACTTTTTTCTTTCATAGGGAAGAGGTGATAGCTTTCTGAAACTTCTGAAACATTCTTTGTCCTTTGCAAGTATTCATCGTTAGATAGGCAAACCCCTCGGATCTTCATTAGTTCTGTTGTCATTGATTTAGTCAAAACAAGTACCTTGTTCCTGTTTCTTCATTATTATTTTTTTTTTCAACACATGAAACAAATAATCCTCTGGTATTTGTTTTATAATAAACTTAAATTTTTGGTTCTCAACTTCTTTGGTACGTAAGTCAACTTTTCTGCATGACTTAGCGTAGTTTCCAGACATCTTCATTGTGCTTTTTATCTGTTAATGGTGTTCTCACTCTTCTGTTAACACTGCATCTCAGCACCTTAAGGTTGGAATTAATGAAACTTAATGTTTTTAGAGGCTTTTTAAAATTTTCATAGACCCACTTTCTATTTTTTCATAGACCCACTTTTTTCGTTTTCATAGACCCACTTTTTTTCATAGCTTCATTTTCTTGATTCTCATTAGAGCTACTTTCTTCATTTTTCTATGGCCAATTTTTACATTTTAGTAAAGCCTTCTTTCTGTTTGTAGAGATAGCACATATTTTTCGACTGCTAACATCATGACCCTCTCCAAAAAGATGTCTTCCATAGTAATTTAGCAGAGGCTTTCAGTTACACATGCTGATCCCTAACAATAGACAGGTAAATAAAATAAGTGGTTTCTTGAAGGCAGCATACGTGCATCTGCTCTTTGTTCAAGATGTTTTCTGGTTCTAATTTCTTAGTATTTACTCCCTCCGTGTTCCAGTGCATTTTTTTTTTAAGAATGGCTGCATTTTCTGTTCTTCTGGTTCTACGAGGCATTTGAGACAACAGATCACATCCTCCTGGACTGTCCCAAATACATTTCCAGGCAACACTTCTAGCCAGGAGAGACACTGGTAGAAGTCAAACTTTATGGGCCGCTAAGTGAATTTAAAAAAGACAGTAAAGTTCCTACTAGAGAAAGCATTGCAGATATAGATAATTTATTTCAAGCAAGCAAAAGAAGAAGACAAATATGTGGGTGGTTACAGTTCACCACATTCACTTATATCTTTGGCATGTATTTTGCTGATGAGAACTGATACATTCACAAATTTAATTTTTTTTATAAATTTGAAATTAAAAAGGCAGAGAAGCTGGCTTATGTTCTGTGTTTAATTAATTTATTTTACATGTAGGTTGCATATCTTTTACCGTGCTCCGCAAACCAAATCCAGAAATTGTTGGTGGCTCTTTTTATTTTTTTAATTAACTGGGCAATTTTACATTTAGTAGTTTTTGTCAGGGCTTCTGCACAAAAAAAGATCATACCAGTCAAAAATAAGCATGAAGCAGTCTGCTGGCAGATCACCTGCAACAAAATTGATACCAGTATGTTGAAACTGTGTCCATAGCAGACAGCCTGTAATGGCAAACTATGAAAAATGGCAATTATTAATTTAAAGAAGAGCTGTCAGTTAAAAGAGAGAGAGGACGCAGGGGTTCCAGGGTCCAGTGGGATTTGGAGCGAGAGTGTGCCCATGAGGTAAAGTCCTGGGAAATAAAGGTGGTCGGCGTGATGTTAGCTCGCTGATTGGTCTATAAAATATAGGTCTAACACCATATCCCCAATAGGTGTGGAAAAGGGCCTTTATCCTTAACAAGCGTTCATACAGGTTAACTAATTAGGGGTGTCTCCTTCAATACTGGAGTGCATCTGCATGAGAGCTGATGAGTCAATCAAGAATTGACATCACTGCACTCTGTATAGTCCCACACATGCTCCATCCCATTCTTCAGTAGCCAACAAAGGGTAACAGTTGCAACCTAGTTAAAAAGTGTGCTTATGTTTCCCCCTCAGTGTTTAATATCTTGCTGAAACCCTACTTCTTCCCCTCCCCCATTTGTCTTTCAGTGTACGGATTTTAAGTTTTACTGCACTGCTCATTTGATCCCAGAGAACCTTCTTTATGTCCGCTTTATCATAAAGTAGCTCACCGCCCAGAGGAGTGGCAGCTGCTAATCTTATCAGTCTGCTCATTACTTCACACCACTGGAATTCTAAGGGTTTTTAACACCGGATCAACATCATGGCACACGTGTAGTAACCCCTAAGTGCTCCGTTCTTCTAACTCTAGTCTGAGTCCGAAGAAGCTCAGCACATTGCACAAGCATCTATAGCATCGGCGAGGATCCTAAAATACTTTTGGGTAGATTTTTAACTCTAATTTTTTGACCAGGCAGCGCCGTTAGACTACTTCTTCCCCCGTGTGGGTTCCTGGGCCCTACTATGGGAAAAACAAGAATAGACCCACTGCCTACCCAAAAGCATGTCGTAAGAGTCGACTAATTGGGAGCTTCCTTCGAAGTTGGAGTGCATCTGCCTGAGAGGCAAGGAACCAAGTCTGCAAACGGATGCACATGCAACACTCAGGTTCTGGAACAGGACTGCAGTCCAGAAGTGGACGAACAACCAGAACTTTCCGCCAGAGTTCACAGCCGGTGAACGCGAAGAAGAAGACTACTACTTTTCGATTTGCAACTGCCAAGGGATTTTTACGTGCGCAGCAATGCACACGGGCGTCCGATCTCACTACCCAGAGAAAAGGTAAATTTCTAGAAGTCCCAAGTCCACGTGAAAACATCCCAGCCCATACCAGGGCTTGAACTCTGAACCTCTAGCATTCGAAGCGGACACCATGCCTCGAGCCCACGCATGCCCGGGAATCATAAAAGGCGACGTATCAAAAGTGTGCATACAAATAAACCAGATGTGTACCCAAAACTGAAGTTATGTAACAACAGACTTACAGCTAGAACTTTCTGCCTCAATTTACATCCGGTGAACATGAAGAACAGTTAAGTTGCTACTGTCTGTGACATAACTGATAGGGGCAGAAGGGACGTAAGACGTTGCTGAAAACCTTTTCAACAGCAAGAGATAAATTAACATCTAAAAATAGAAAGTTGAAATCATCTAAAAATAAGACTGCACTAAAAGTTTTGTCAGCTGTACTATGTGAAGCAGGAACCTGCAAAATTAATAGTCAGAAATTCTAATTAATAATCCATTTTTTTATGAATAATGTGCAAATAGTTTATGGAGAGGCTGTTTATATTGAAGAAGTTAAATGAAAAACATTTGCTTATTAATAAAAGAATTTCTAACCATACAGTAGGGGACATTTTTATGGGAGTAGCGACTGGAGTATGCAAGGTGCACAGAAGAATATCTGAATATTGATGAACAGCAGTTTGAAAGCCGTATACGTCAGTGTCCTGCCCTTTCGTTGAAGACAAAACGACATGCAAATGGTCTTTTATGGACCAGCTTGTACGGCATTCTGACCCCCTAGATAAAATTGAAAAACTGACACAAGTGCTCTGAGGAAATTGATTTTCATATTGAACAAAACAATGCATTGGGGGGGGGGGGGGGGGGTTTTAAGTTGGTCATTATGTTCTTCTTTTGGGAATCTTCAACTCCACATCGAGGTGACTGTTTAGTTTTTCAAAATTGGTCTTGGCTGCTAGGTCGACCCAGTCTATAATGCCTGCCATAGAATGACCTGGGAAGGATACGTAGTGTGCGTGATGACATCATCACTGATCCAGTGACGATTGGTCTAAAAGAATATAGTCTTAGCCGGGGCCATCGATAATACTATTGATTGTCCCGGCTCAGCAGTGTATACGCCAAATGTGTGAACAGACCTTTAAAAAAAATTTATTGGTTTCCAAAAAAAAGTCTACTTTGCTTTTCTTCGTCTTCATCCCATTTCGATGCAGTTTGATTGAGCATGTCAAAGGCGTACAGTGTAACAGATAATAATATGACAGTAAACAAACATTTTATACAACTGAATTGAAGTTTGAGGATGTGAAACAGGAAATACCTATCAAATATGTCCAGTGCACACTAGGTTACAGTAAAAAAATGACAGTGAACAAATATATTATTACGTTTTACAATTTAACTGAAGTTTGGAGATGCGAAATTGTGGATATACCGAAAAACAGTTTGCATGGCCTTAAATTTGAAGGGGGGGGGGGATACTGATGGTATGAGTTAGACCGGAACATCTGATGACGGCCTTATGCGTTTCACTTTGCCTGTGCGAGCTTCAAGATTTTGCTGGGACTGATATGCTTTTCTTAGTTTTCAGATGGGACGTATTTTGTGTGTGATTTCCACGGAAACGGGCCAGTTATGCGGCCACCCATCCTAGGTGAAGTTGGTACCTTGACTAATGTCAAGGGATGCACGACGAAACATTTGAGGATACAACTAGATCTAGACAAATGTCATTGCGGGGAGGCTATCTCATTGATTTCTTGTTGTACTTACCATCATTTAAGATGCTCTAGTATGACATTAACAATTTTAGGAATGGTTATCTCCTTCTTAGCGTTCACTACTTGTAAACTGCATTGTTGGTTGTTCATCCACTCTTGGACTTTGGTCATGATCCAAAATTTGTGCCCACATCTGTGTTACAGATCTGGCTTATTTATATGCAGACTGTTGGCTCGTTGCCTCTCATATAGCTGCACTCCGACTTTGAAGGAAACACTAGTAATTAGTCGCCTCCTACGACATGATTGTTGAAGGAGGGTCAGTGGGTCTATTTGTTCTCCAAAGTGATGACCCAGATTTCGGACAGGGAAGAAGTAGCGATGACTTTGTTTCCTTCTCAATACGCATAGCGAGTTACCACGCTTATTTATATGAGGTGAATGCGGTTTCTAAGGCTTTGGTGCCGACTGTCTGCCGCTAACGTAGATTCTGGATGACCAAGGTGTCTGGCCGGGTTTTTTCCACAGGGGGGACCATAAATTCAGGGCAGGTAAGGTGATTGTTAAGATACCGTTTGCTTCTCGCGCTGAAATTCGTGGGTTCGTTTTACAGCTGCGTCGTTTGGTTCACAAGTGCAGTTTTTAAGGAATTAATCAAGTAACAAAGTATTGTGAACGGCACTCATAGAAAGAAGTAGAAAGATAGAAGAACACACTAGACAACATAAAAATCGAAAGCTTAGTTACCGTACCGTGTCTGTCACCTCCAGACGGCGTCTGCGCCTCGCCATGAATACAAGTACACTAACATACATGGTCAACTAGGCACCCCCCAAAAAGGTGTCTTATTGGCCATGTCTATCGTACAGCTTGAAATCCACGACTATGGAATACGGACAGAATTCATTTCAACCCATTTAAATGGCACCATAGGTTACAGGAATTTATATTAACGAAGCAAATGTCGAATAACAATCACAGCAACAATTTACGAACACAGTAGACCTTATTGCCTTGTCTAGAATACACAAACATTTAAGAAAGGTTTTTAAGGAAAGAATATCCTTGAGAATCGCTGTTGGAGCTTCAAAGCTCTTGCCCCTGTGCGCTGGTCTCGGCAGGAGGCTAGCCGTTGGGGGGGGGGGGGGGCGGTGGGGGTTAATGGGTCCTTCCGAGTTAAATAGCAGAAAAAAAATGAAAGTAGTGGTGGTAAAAAAAAAGGACAAGCTGAAAAACTGTAGAAGAAGAATCAAATAAACAGATGGAATGAAGGAAGAACTATTAGAATAAAGACTTACAAAAATTAAATAAATAAACAGAACGAATGAATGAAGAACTACTAGAATAAAGACTGATATAAAAAAAAATCCATGGGGGGGGGGGGTCCCGGGACCCTATTTTAGGAGAACAAATATAGACTCACTGTATCCCAACAAACTATTAATAAAAGTCGATTAATTAGAGTGTTGCCTTCGAAGTCGCAATGCATCTGCTTGAGGCGCCAGAAACCGGCAGTCTTCAAGAACAACAATAAATACCAAAATGGACGAACAACCACAACTTTCCGATGGATATACAATTGGTGATAAAAAAGAACTAATAAAATAAAAAGTCGAAGAAGAAGGAAAAACTAGAAGATGAAGACAGAAGGACTGCTATTTAAAGAGGATGAAAGAGCTAGTAAAAGAAGGATAAGATTAGAAGCAAAAGAATAAAGACTAGTAACAGAAGAAAAAAGAACTAGTAATAGAAAAGTATGGAAAGAACCAACTAGTAATCCTGTTGAAGATAAGAAAGAACAAACTGCAGAAGAAGAAGAGCCGTCATTGCAATGTGGACTCCCCCGTGTGGGTTCCGGGGCTCTCATAGACCCACTGCCTACCCAAAAGCATGTCGTAAGAGTCTCATCTGCTTGAGAGGCAAGGAACCAGCAGTCTGCATACAAATGAGTCAGATCTGTAAAACGGATGCACACGCAACACTCAGGTTCTGGAACAGGACTGTAGTCCAGAAGTGGATGAACAACCAGTACTTTCTGCCAGTTTACAGCTGGTGAACGCGAAGAAGAAGCAATGTGGACTATTTATCAAACCGACGTAAAGATAGCCCGGTAGCTGTAAAAGTTTCACCCGGCGCATCAACGTGTAGAACTTTTTGTGTTGACACACACAAGCAATACTGTTGTTTTAGTTGCTAGTCTTGTCTTAACGCAACTATGGATGTGGACGAGACAACAAAAACAGTGACGGAGTTGGGAGTCTGTATAGAAGATTTCACTGGCGACAAACCTAAGACGAAGATGAAGTGCTACAATTCCAAATTAAAAATATTTAGGTAGATACTCTATCTTCACTTATAGATTATTAGATGACTATGCAATGTGTGAGTGTGCACCATAGTAGTTGATTTTTTGGCTCTCCTCGGAACTTAGTCTCCATATTATGGCGGCCAAATAAATATCCTAACATTGTAAAATGCGGACTTCCTCCAACGAACACATCGCGGCAAAACTAGGATTACTGTCCGTTGACAGTTTCGAGAAACGCAACAATAAAACACACGATAATAATAACAACAGCGACGTGGCGGGGAGTCCACACGCTCCGACGCAGTTTAATTTAACGGTAGTGCTCTTCTGCGTTACGCGGATGGAGGGGGGGGGGGGCTAAACTAGATGGCTGGGACTCACAAGCAGCAGCTACCGCATCTCCTGCAACTTCCTCCATTTTATGTGCTCGTGAGTCCCAGCTATCTAGTTTAGCCCCTGAATCCATGCTGCACATTACGGCGTGGGGGTTACTGTCGGCAGTGCTGTGTGGCATAGTCACAGAAACAGGTCCGCAATTAACATCGCTGAGACCCTGTTATTGTTTGCCCTCGATAATATTGGCCTGTTATTCGGAGGCAATCCTAGTTTTGCCACGATTTGTTCCTCGACCGTCACTCCGCATTTTACACTTGACTGAGGCCCTGTTAGGGTATTTGTATCAGACGGCACCACAGAGAGCAATGCTAAACAGATACTGCGGTAACGGATCCAGAGGTTGAGCACACAGAAGATGAACTTCAGAAGTATCAGAGAAACTAAAAAGTACTTGAAACGAAGCGAACAGAAGGGCCAGTTCCAGAGATCTCATCCAGCCCTGGCGCTGCAAGGCATTCTAAGTGTAGAGAAAAAAAAGAAGAAAAAGATAATATAAATGACTAATAAACATAGTTGTTTAGTTATATTTCCTGTACATTTTATATACTTTTTGTAGTATGTTATAAAAACAATGTGTGTGCCGTCTCCACAATGTAGGTTGGCTAGGTGCATGGCATTTCTGACTTTGGCAGTATTATGTAGCGAGGCTCTAATCTGTTCCACAATGTGACTCTCATACCACTAAATACCATAAGTACCTTTTTAAAAAAAAAAAAAAAATAATAAACCCTTCCTGGTTGACCCTGACAAATTAGTTCAATGGTGCAATTTGCACTTTACTGATGATGGTATTGCCACCTGCACGACAGTGTAGTGACTACACAGAGATTAGATGCGTAATAAATTAAACACATGTGATGGGGGGGGGGGGGGGGAGCTACAGCAGCTAGGTTTCATTAAAAACAATTATTCCCAAGTGGGTTTTGGTGCTCCCACAGCCTGACTGACCATATGGTAAAAGGGAACTAATTAGGGGAGCACCCTTGCAAATCAGAGTGCGTTTGCCTCAGAGACAAGGAACAATAGCCTGCATTCAAATAAGTCAGATTTGTAAAACCTGCCCACAAAACTCAAATTCTGGAACAAGACCAAAGTCCAAAAAGAGGATGAACAACCAGGCTTGTAAAGAAATACAATTAGGTTTTTAATATAGGTTTTAAATTCTCCGAGGGAAGGGGGTAGGGGAGTTAAATGTAATAAATTAAGCAAATAATGTCTCTTGGTGTGATCTTTAAAATTTTTTTTAAATTCTGTATTTGCCCTTAATTCTTTCAGTCCCAGCCAACATATGATGTCTGAATCACTCTAGCTGCTGAAACCTCTCTGTAGCTTAAGGTGCTCTTACTGTTTATGTTTGGTTAGGACATATTTAAGACATCTGGCTTCTCCAGAGGTCACTGATTCTGTTGTTTTGCCACTTTGAAAGTAAGTCACCGGCCCTAAATTCTGGCGGAAAGTTCAGGCTGTGCATCCACTTGTGGACTTTGATCTTGTTCTGTTTATCAGATCTGGCTTAAAGGTCAAGTCGGGAGATGTGAACCAGCGTCATTGCACTCGGTTATAAACCATAAGTGCTCTGCCACCAGTACGGACAGCTGATTTGTCCGCCTGTGTCCCCGTTCGCACGCAACTCTATAGCTATAGCGGCGTTCCTCCCTTTACCCCAGAGTGTCAACTCTGGTACCCATTTCCTAGAGGCTGGGTGAACCCCGGGAACCGCCCGGTTTCGAACACCGACCGTGGCTGCAGTGAGTCGCACCTGGATTTGAAAGCGAGCCTCTTATCGACTGTGCTAACGCAGCCCGTATGCATGCTGTTGTTTCCATGCAGATGCACTCTGACTTCAATGGAAACACTCCTAATTAGTCAACTTTTACAAGATAATTCTTAAGGGGCAGTGGGACTAATCTTGTGAACCCCCCTCCTTCCCCCCAGTGGGGCCCTGGACAGTAATGCATTAATCAATTTTAATCATGGATATTTCTTCACTGTCGCATCTTCTACAGAACTTTCTGATACTGAAAGTGAAAGAGTCAAAAGGGTGGCTGGCAAACAGTGTTGTGGTTTATAGCTAGGCTGTGATATCTGCGCCTTTCAGTCCAACAATCTGATTTCAGCAAATGCCTAATTAGGTTCTGGAACAAGACCAAAGTCCAGAGGTGGATGAACAACCAGAACTTTCCCCCAGAGTTTACAGCCGATGAACATGAAGAAGAAGAAGAAGACAATCATAGAAATCATTGTCTAGGTCAAGTATGTCATACTGGCAGGCTGCATACTGCCCTTTTTAAACACACCTACCGTCCTCCTAAAGGAACATTTTTTCATTAAATGACTTCAATTATTTGTCTTGTGTAGCCCTTATGACAAAATAAAAAGGACCCCTATGGCTCTTGGGGACCCTCAGTTTCACATGCTGGTCTAAGTATGAATCTTAAAAGATTCCCTTCCCTGCCCCCCCCCCCCCCCCTTTTCCCCTAATGTTGTAATATTAGTGACATTTTTGTTGTTTCCTAACTTTCCACAGGGAATTTATACTGGCCACTGTTTCTGCCTTAGTTGAAATCAAATCAAATCATGTGTATGCAAAAACTGACAAAGAGCGTTTATCACAGTCCCAGGTCTATGCACTTGATGCTTTAGCTTGTACTGGTAAGTATATTGTAGTGATACTTTAGCATGTACTGGTAAGTATATTGTAGTGATACTTTAGCATGTACTGGTAAGAAGATTGTAGTGATACTTTAGCCTGTACTGGTAAGAATATTGTTGTGATACTTTAGCCTGTACTGGTAAGAATATTGTAGTGATACTTTAGCCTGTACTGGTAAGAATATTGTAGTGATACTTTAGCCTGTACTGGTAAGAATATTGTTGTTATACTTTAGCCTGTACTGGTAAGAATATTGTTGTTATACTTTAGCATGTACTGGTAAGAATATTCTAGAGATACTTGAGCCTGTACTGGTAAGAATATTCTAGAGATACTTGAGCCTGTACTGGTAAGAATATTCTAGAGATACTTGAGCCTGTACTGGTGAGAAGATTTTAGTGATGCTATTTTATGTACTGCAAGGCTATTCAACTAAGTTTACTCAGGGGACAAAATGTTTTAACGGGTGATCATCACTGGCCAGAAGTTGGAACCTTAGCATAGAAAGATCTTTATTACAGTACAACTGGCGGTGATCCACAGGCCATTTGCTAGGCATTTGTCCTTTCCATTACCAGCATATTTTCTTCACTTCTCGATTCACCAGAATTTGCTTATTCTCCCCCACCCCCCACCCCACCTGCAAGGCTCCATATTTGTTATTCTGTTATTATACTGTTTAATTCCCTCTATTCTATACAGGTACCCATTAAGGAATATTTGTAAATTATTTTCTTTTAATATCATTAGGGCCACCCCTTCATCGTGGCAAGAATTTTCCTGTGACCTGAGAACAAAATGGTTCACCAGAATTTAAATATTTCCCCCTGATCTAGTCCATCTAGTTTCATTTAATTCTAAATTGCTAATCTAATAATGTTTCATATCTTTTACTCATTCTACTGCCCTTCTCACATCATGCAAAGTTCTGACATTCCATGTGCCCGTTCTAGAGATTTCCTTAGATGAAAGGAGGTGGGTCAACGATCCAGATTCCTTTTGGCTTCTCCAAACAACGTTATCATTCTTCTGTTAGACTAGCCTCTCACCACCCCCCCCCCCCCCACTATCCCATCTTGGTTTGCTGGAACTATGGGTTACTCCTTTAGACTTTTTAATGGTTGGTTGGGGTTTTTTTTGTTGGGGGGGGGGGGGGGGCATAAGGTAGTCCAACCCTACCCTTCTTACATCATGGCTGGTAGAAACATTTGCTAGCCTATGGGACACCCATGGGCAAGGTGGAGAACCTGTTTAGCCTGCCTCTCAGGGTAATGTGAAACCACGGGAGCAGTTGGTAGGTTGATCAGCTGGCAGGTGGTTGATGGTCATGGTCTTAAGGTTCCTGATGGTAGGCAGAGGATGACACTATAGTGATTCCTTGAGCTAGACTTTCCCCAACCCTGTTTGAGCGTGCAATATGAAAAATGTATTGAAACTTTTCTTTCATTTTGTTTTCTTTCTCTTCTTAGAGTCCATGCCGTGTGGCATTGGTAGTCATGTCTATCCACAAAGCTTCTGTCTCATATACTTTCAGTCAACTTTGACACAGATGATCTTCCATGCCATGATGTCAAACTGTCCAGCATCTGTTCTCTCGGTCTCTCTCTGCCTCTCCTCCCCTCCAACCTTCCTACCGTCATGATATACTCCAGTTTTTTCCTTCTCATCACATGACCAAAGAATGTAGATTGTCTCTTTCTGATGTGGACAATCAGTTCTCTTCGTGAGCCAGTTTCTTTCAAGACATCTTCATTACTCTTTTTTTAATCTGTCCAGGGTATTCTCATCATTCATCTATAAAACCACATCTCCGCAGCTTCTAAATAAGTTTTCAATAGTTTACTAACTAATGGAAGGAATATTAACTCTACAGGGGTTGCAGGCATTCAGTGGAAGAAACACCTGTCCAGTCATGTGCATGTGACATTAGCTGATCATGACGACACAGACAAGATGGTGGCCAACGCTCAAGCAAACTTCCTGAGCTGCACCGAACATAAACTGAATCCTTTGCGAGTTTCTGGGGAGCTGGTTGGTTTGCAGGGAGAGAAGGAAGTCCATTACATTCAGGCAGAGGCAAAGGCAGTCCTGATGATGGAGCAGTATAATTTTATGTTAGTATATTAACATAATGGTTTGACGTTAATTATAATTATCTATTGCATTGGACGTTGGTGCTGACGGTTTAAGAGTTATGAACCCTGTTTCTTAATTCTAGCTCAATCCAGCATGTGGTTGCGGTCAGATGCAGGTGATTCAGCAGCTTTGCTTTTATTTTGACAATAGGGTGAGCGCTGTACCATTAAGAAAGAAATGACAAACTACTAAATATAAAAATTGCCATGTGAAACTACAGAAAGTCAATATATGCTGGGCGTGTGGTTTACAATGTCCTGAAGAGAATAGGCACCTATGATAGACATTATGATTAGTACAATGCTATATGGTGCTAGATGCTGTCATTAATCAAATGCTATCCTAGTCATAGTCAAGGTTTCAGCTTTACTGCAGTTGAGTCACCCCATACTTGCCCCATTCCTGTGCTAGTAAAAGTCCCTCATCATCCTATTTAAAAAACTGGTGTGCAAACAATTAGTCCCGACACAATCCAGAAATATTTGCAGATAGTAAATGCATAAGGCAGTTGCTAGAGGTGTCAAAGCCAACAGGTACCACCAGAAATTCAGTTAGTTGCAGATGGAAGAAGTTTGTCATGATAAGTTGGCTATACACACGCAAGATATTTCACCGGCTACCGGCCATAATGAATATCCCAAAGCAGTGCTGCACAAATGAAAGCATGTTGTAGGAGTCAACTAACTGGGGACATCCTTCGAAGTTGGAGTACATCTGCCTGAGAGGCAAGGGACCACAAGACTGCATACAGATAAGCCAGATCTGTGAAATTGATTTGCATGCCACACTCAGGTTCTGGAGCAAGACTAATGTCAGGAGGTGAACAAACACCCAGAGCTTTTGGCTGGAGTTTACAGCTGGTGAATGCGAAAAACAATAAACAAATTCAACTGGTCTGGACATTGGATATTCTTTTTCTTGACGTCCTCTTTTACTGCTTCGGGTGTCGATTGAGCTTTTAAGATCCTGCTGCCTGCTCTTCTGGCTGCTTTGACCATAGACACATTGTGGTGCTGTAGAGTTTTTATAATGTTGTCTTACTATTTTTTTTTCTTGGTTTACCTCTTGCTGTACATCCCTCTCCTCTTTTGGTATATGCTTTGTATGGTATAGCATCACACAGCATTCACTCGAGGTGGGCAAACCATTTTATTTGCTCTCTTTGTATGTAATTTAGAATTAGTTATGTGCTGACTTTTATCTCATATAACCTCATTTCTGATTTTATCTCTTCTCTTGGACATGAAGATTAATTAAATACTATACTGTACCAGCAGTTTGATTTCAGTTAGATTGTCAAGGGGAAACCTGAAAGTGTTTCTTTCTGTAGCCTTATGTGTTTTCATAGTTAGTGCATGAGTCACCTCTATGACTGGGGATTATGGGAAAATTTCAAGTCAACCTGGCTTTAAAAACGGTATTGGATTTACAAGGAAACCCCTCTAAATGCTATATTTAGCTAATACATTCACATCCAGGCCTCCTAAACACTTCAAAGGTGTGCATAGAACCATTGGCATTTAACTGCGCTTTTCATGAACAGGTCACTGCAGAAATGGAGATATCGACATTGACAGGGCTGATTTGACACGCTTGTTGGAGGGGGGGGGGGGGGGGGGGGGGTGTGGGTCTATTCTCCCCCCTCCCCCCCACCCAAATGGAACTTCTCAGAACCCACATGCAGAGCAAACCATTTTTTTTATTTGTTTAGTAGATTAGTACAACTTTTCTTTAATCCATTTTTCATCGTCAGATATTTGAGCTCCAACAAGAATTGTGCCTCTTACTTTGAGCCTGCACTGCACAGTATGACCTCTGATGGGATACTGTGTGTCATTGTTCCTGATATTTCATTGTTTGCACGAACGCCCCATGTGGTACAGCGTTTTTTTGCTGCAGACGTTGTTAAGACAGAGTATCTCAAAGAACTGGCCGCACGTATTGTCCTGGCCAGTTTGGCACGGTTAGTGTACCGGTAGATTTTATTTTTACATAAGATTTTTTAAACAGTATCTTATGCAGTGATTAGTGGCCTAGAGATATGGCATTTACAGTGCAGTAAAGGAGCCTTTTCTGTGCCTTCAGATATATTGGGCACATAGGGCTAGACCTGGCATCATGAGAGCTAATAGACTGAAATGGTTGGGTCATATTGAAAGAATGTCAGATGACAGAGAAGTAAAAACTGTATACAATAGTTAGATGAATGGTAGTAGACCACAAAGGAGACCAAGAAGACGATGGAAAGATAATGTCCAGACAGACCTGCAAACACTTGGTGTTACCAACTGGAAAGAGAAGGCCCCACACAGAGAGATTTACGAGGTCGGGTGATTTCTGCAGCAATGAACCTCAAGGGCTCAGAAAGCTGAAGAAGAAGAAGAAGATAGGGCTAGACCTATATTATATAGACCAGTTAGCACTTGGTGGGGGATCGAGTTAACATCACAATGGCCGGCTTTTACCTGGTGCCCATTTAAGATTGGGTCGACTTTGGTGCCAAGATCAATTTCAACCCCCCCTCCCCTTCCAAAGTCTGGCTCCATGTGGACCTATACCCATTACTTTCGATGCACAGGTGAGCCTCTAGCCGCTACACCATGGTGGCTTTCGGTATGGCATTTAAAAAAAGGTGCCTGATTAAAATCTAGTTTTAATGTCCTGTGTCAATCAGGAAGCCACCAGCCCCAGCTCAAGATGACTATTTTTTTATGGACAGACCAGAACAAGTCATTATCCTCTGCCTCAGAACAGGGCACAACCGATTACTTAACCACATGTACACAAAATTCAAGATAGGCAAATCCACTATGTCCACCTGTGGAAAGGTGCCCCTGACAGCAGAGCATGTACTCCAGGACTGCACCGAATTTGACACATTAAGGCAAACCTTTTGGCCAGAAAGAACAACAGTGGAATGTAAACTCTATGGACCAATGAATGAACTAACAACGACGGTGAAATTTATACAAGAGACAAAATTGCTGATATAGACAAGCTATTTCATGCGAACGAAAGAAGAAGAAGACTGTCCTGTGTTTGCCACCATCAAGTGCTAGAGGATTTTTAATATTCCAATAGTCCCAACAATTAACAGTTATGTAGATTGTTCTTCCAGTTTGGCACTGGTAGTACCTAATGGTCATGTTTTGGTCTCATGTAATGAGAAGAGGTGAACTTGAACATGTTTTCTTCTTCTTCTCCTTCGCGTTCACCGGCTGTCAACTCCAAGTTTTGGTTCTTCGCCCACCTTTAGTTTGGTTTTAGTACCTAAGTGTTGCATGCGCATCCATTTTACAGATCTGATTTATTTGTATGCAGATTGTTGATTCTTTGTTTCTCAGGCAGACATACTCCTACTTCGAAGGAAGCTCCCAGTTAGTCGACTCTTACCACATGCTTGTTGGGGAGGCAGTGAGACTATTCTTGTTTTCCCTACAATGGGGCCTCGAAACCAACACGAGGAGAACATGTTATGACCACTGGATAGATCTATGACCACTGGATAGATCCATGACCACTGGATAGATCTGTAGAAAGAGAGAAGACAGCGCGAGAAGATTCTTGACAGCCTTTTGTCATGGCATGGAAGGATGTCAGCACACAAACTGATACTTGCAGTTGCAGATCGCGGATTACAGAGAGGCACGATCGCCCATGCCATTCTGCAGGGCACTTGATGACGATGATTGCCTGATGATATATACATAATGAGGATGCATTACACATATATATCACGGTCTGTGATTGTCACAGATTACAAAAGAATGGCAGTTAATGGCATATGATCAGCACATCCATATAAAAGCTTGGTAAGCTGGACTGCACTCGCTGTGAGAGCCGATAAAAGTGGAGGTGCTATCAAATACCCACGTTCAAAGCACAGCTCTCTAGTGAAAACAAGCAGGCGGTGACCAGCCATCTTTGTGAGCACCTGTAGGTACAGAGCATTGTCTGTGAAATACATACTTCGGCCCTGATGTCAGAAGACAGTCTGCTTGTTTAAATAATGACCATAAGGGATACTGATTTGAGAATACAAAATATTGCATCGTCTCCACAGCAGCTTGGCTGTAAGCTCACAACGCTAGAACACTTCTCGCATTATAGAAAAGATTCTTATAAACTAACTGAACCTCGGATTTAGACAAAAGTTGACTTATGTGACCGAGACTTCGTTCAAGTTAACGTAACACACTGAGTTCACATTTATGTCAGTAGTCTTCACTGTGACTCTCTCGCTTCGCCTTCATTTCATCGGGTTTTTTGAGGAAAAGCCCTGAGACTGAGTTTACTCTTGTGTATGCCCACACTTTGACCTACAAATTATCATTAAATATATATTCTTCTTCTTCGTCTGCCTTTCTATCCCCCAATAGAGCATAGGCCCTCAACCAACTCACGCCAAGTCGTTCTATCCTTCGCCATTACATGGAGCTCTCTCCATGTCCTCCCAATCTTTCTAACCTCATTCTCCAGCTCTCTTCTCCATGTGTTTTTTGGCCTTCCTTTATTCCTATGCCCCTGTGGGTTCCAATGCAAAGACATTCTAGTTATGCTGTTCTCCTGTTTTCTCAGTGTGTGCCCTATCCAACGCCAGCGTCTTTTCCTCACCTCCTGATCCACTGGAGCCTGTTTAGTTCTCTCCCAAAGTTCTACATTAGTTATTCTATCATACCATTTTATTCCCTCTATTCTGCGCAGGCACCAGTTAATGAATGTCTGTAATTTATTAGTAATTGCCTAAATATATATACTCCATTATATATAGAATCCATTGGTTTCGAAAGTGGTATCAGTAAAGCCGACCGTCTAGAAAGCAGTAGCAAACTACTGAACGTAAATTTGCCTAGAAAAACCGCACAACAGCCTGGGGGCTGTTGGGGTTGGTTCTGCAACGTCCTGTAAAGGACACGCAACTAACCTAAATATAGAATTAATACACAACAATATTGTAGAAAATATAAAACATGTGTCAGTTGATTTTTAAAGTTTGATTAATTCTGGCCAGAGGATTAAGTTATTATATGCAGAATCAGAAAATAATGGTCAATACGATTTCTCTTTACAAAATTTGAATTCGCAGAGCCGCAGCCAGATGCCTTAAAGGCATATCCCCTCAGTATGTGGTATCCCACGAGGACCACTTGCTCATTTGTGTCAAAGTTAGCAGAGGTCATAATGCTGCAGACTCTTCACTGAAGGAGATAGAGAAACTTCTTCATTGCAGACTTTGCGAGGAAAGAGTTTTTATGCCAAATCAGTTGGCCCCGCATGGTAGGTTAAATTTGTGTGTGTGTGTGAATTAAATGCGCTTATTATCATAAATGAATGCTTTGCCACTGTGATTTTAATTTTAATATTTTTCTCTTCTCTTATTTTGTATTTTGTCCCATTCTGGAATATAAGCCTGCAGCCAAATGATGCCAGGCCATCACATGTAGTTAGCTCCATATCTTTCTCATGTTGATCTCTTTCCCTCTTCCTATATTTTTTTTACCCTGTAGCTTCCACTAAAGAGACTTTCTTGTTATACTTTTTTTTTTCAGTGTGCGCATCTTATCCAGAATCAGTATTGTTTACTCACTTTTTAATTCACTGGAATTTGTTAGTTCTCTCCCAAAATTCTACAATAGTAATTCTCTTATACCATTTCATCCCGTTTATTCTGTGCGGGCGCCAGTTTAAAAATATATGTCATTTATTATAATCATTCTCACATTAGATTTTCACATCTTTGGTTATCAGTTTTTTTACATTTCCACAGTTATAATGAAATGTAACATTTATATTTTCAAACTTCAATGTCTCTATATGCTTGTGAGCATTTGTGCGTATACAGTAATTTTAATTACATATAATTATTATATATTTTTATGTTAATATATTAGATTTAGAAGACAGCTGAACTTAGATTCTGTAACTGAGGAGGGAATTTCATAAATTTTCCTTTTCAGTGTCTACTATTTTATATCCTTCTACATTCCTCTTTTGAGAGTAGAGGGTCAAACCTAGTTGTGCTTATTAAAATCAGATTCAGAGTTCAGGACTTTAGCACATATTTATGCCGAGATTTTTTTCTCTAGACAAGAATGTGCTGGTAGTCACCACAAAGCTCTTTAAAAAAAAATGATGCCTTTAAAAAAAAGGGGGGGGGGGGTGGAGGGGCTGTACTAAGTACTGTTGTGCAACACTAGAAAAAAAACAACCTTAGTTTACGTAAGATCTTCCTTCTTCATGCTGCTCCACATTCCACCCCGGAGATCTTGGGTTTGAATCTTCACCGGGCAAATTTTGGAAGAAAAGTACTGACTTCCAGGTTGACCCAGCCTTAAATGGGCGTAGCAGAGGATGTCCTGAGAAGTAAAGCCGGTCAAAAATAGCTGTTGACCACATCACCCATAGAGGAACAATTGCTTTATAAAGAAATGTCCAGCTGAATTTTGGTGTACAGTTCTACTTATTGTTTTTATTGTTGATCTTTAAATATGTCTTTTACCAGAGGATCCTTACAGCCTTCTGCCCTGCACTTGCAAGAAGAATAATCCAGGAAAGACAGCTGTCATTTTAGGACCAGCTTGGTAAGCTCTTGTTTTGTGATTAAATTGATATATGTTCTTAGATACAAATGGCTGCCAGATAATCTCCTGGTATGCTTTAGTTTTGTTATTATGTTAGATACAAATGGCTGCCAGATAATCTCCTGGTATGCTTTTGTTTTGTTATTATGTTAGATACAAATGGCTGCCAGATAATCTCCTGGTATGCTTTAGTTTTGTTATTATGTTAGATACAAATGGCTGCCAGATAATCTCCTGGTATGCTTTTGTTTTGTTATTATGTTAGATACAAATGGCTGCCATAATTTTCTGAGAATTATCTAGGAAGGAAGGGGAATGGCCGCGGCGCTCATATGTTGTGACCTAGAATGTGTAAAGCCCTACAACTTCATTCCCTAATTCACTCTTTGTCTACTGTTTTCTAAGACGGAGCTTGTCAAAACAAAGAAATAAGGACATACACACACACACACACGAACAGAGAAGGGAGCTAGAGAGGTGGAATCAAAAAGATGTTACCTATCTAATGTGTATAGTACAAGGAGAGCTCAAATGGAAACCTTAAAAATGTGATAGAAATGACAGACACCATGCCATTGTATTGTAACTTGTCATTATTATTGTTGATGCACAATAGGATAACAGAACACTGCTCCTCTCTTGTCTCATGTCAACAGTGGGGTGGCCATATTTAAACTACCATTATGACATCACTGTGTTCGTCTGCACCATGATTTCTTGTGCTTAAAATGCTTATCAATAATATTGATAGGTTACAAGACAGTGGCATGGTTATTGTAATTTCTAGCATATTTTTAAGGTTTCTATCGTAATTTCTGGCATATTTTTAAGGTTTCTATCGTAATTTCTAGCATATTTTTAAGGTTTCTATCGTAATTTCTAGCATATTTTTAAGGTTTCTATCGTAATTTCTAGCATATTTTTAAGGTTTCTATTGTAATTTCTAGCATATTTTTAAGGTTTCTATTGTAATTTCTAGCATATTTTTAAGGTTTCTATTGTAATTTCTAGCATATTTTTAAGGTTTCTATTGTAATTTCTAGCATATTTTTAGGGTTTCTATTGTAATTTCTAGCATATTTTTAAGGTTTCTATTGTAATTTCTAGCATATTTTTAAGGTTTCTATTGTAATTTCTAGCATATTTTTAAGGTTTCTATTGTAATTTCTGGCATATTTTTAAGGTTTCTATTGTAATTTCTAGCATATTTTTAAGGTTTCTATTGTAATTTCTAGCATATTTTTAAGGTTTCTATTGTAATTTCTGGCATATTTTTAAGGTTTCTATTGTAATTTCTGGCATATTTTTAAGGTTTCTATTGTAATTTCTGGCATATTTTTAAGGTTTCTATTGTAATTTCTAGCATATTTTTAAGGTTTCTATTGTAATTTCTAGCATATTTTTAAGGTTTCTATTGTAATTTCTGGCATATTTTTAAGGTTTCTATTGTAATTTCTAGCATATTTTTAAGGTTTCTATTGTAATTTCTGGCATATTTTTAAGGTTTCTATTGTAATTTCTGGCATATTTTTAAGGTTTCTATTGTAATTTCCATGACACTTTTCAGGTTTTTATTTGAACCCCCTGTGATTTCATCAGTCCTGGATTTACTTGTTAATTTTGCTGTGTTTTGTTGCAGGAAGGGGCATATTAGTGACCCAGATTTCCTAAGCCGCCTACAACGGCAAGCCAAGCCCTTGAGCTTAAGCACAAAATTTGTGGAAATAGCCAGCATGCTCATAAAGGAAAGCTTGTGTGCCAAATCAGACACCATTCGACCTGTTGGATTTAATTCACGGCCAGATCTGAGCTCAACTGAAAAAGACTCTAACAACTGCAATTCTGAAGCTGAACATGTCAATGTGCACACAAGCACCTCAGCAGATGCAGCAGAAAATCAGAGTGACTCAACCAGTGAGGCTGGACCAACTGATAAATTAGCAACCCCAGACCATGTTGAAGAAACTCTGGAAGCCTCAAATGGAGAGGTACACGCAAAGGAAGATGTTCAGGAGCAGACAGATGTGGACTCCGAAAGACAGAAACGAAAAGCAGAGGATGATGTAAATAAAATGAAGTCTAAACGTCAGAGGAAAGCAGATGTGACTAAATCAACGAATGTTGCATTTTACTACAATGTTACAAAGTTCAGGAAAACAAACCTTCCCAAGTAAGTCTGATTTCTTTATATAGATAGATATTTGGTTTCATGCACATATAAATATTTTAGTTTGCCTACTGTTAGTGTTATTCTCTATGGAATAATATTTGCACATGCTTCATGGGTTCTATGGTGCTTGGGGGTGGGTGGGGGCCAAGCAGGTCCTAAAAAGCAGCTAATTGGAGATTTGCTGACATCTGATGTGCTGGGCTGAAAGGCGCAGATATTGCTGCCTAGCTGTAAACCACAATGTGCCTATCCCCTTTTTTTTTCATGGTGAACACAGAAGAATCTATTTTCACATATATTTGATTCTTTAACTTCTAAATTAAATGCAGTATAGGCAAACTTCTAGAAAGACAAAAAGAAAAGTGAAGAATGCCTATGATACATTTTCTAGACCCTGTGATGTGATAGCATTGATTGGAAACATGAAACAAACGAACAATGCACTTGATTCTAAAGGTCACAAATTGGGTACCCAGACCAGGTTTGCACTCAATGCTTCCAAGCATTCATCTTTCATAGTGCATACATCTAGAGAACAAGCCTTCCAGTTTGTCCAGGATAAAGATTTACTGAGCTTGTTGTGTCTTGTGAAGACACTGCATTAAGTATTTATCACCGGCAGACACACTACTTGGTGACAAGTTTGTCAGGTGTTCAAATCCTCAACATGACAGATTTGTAAAACATTACCATGGCTGCCAGGCCAACCTAAAAATGACTTTGGCTTCCAGGTTGATCTAGCCTTAAATGGGTACCAGGTAAAGTTCTGATGGTGTGATGTTGATCTCATCACCCACCGAAAGCCAGTCGGCTATAAAATCTAGATCTAGTCTGATATGTTCAATACGCCTGAATGTGTGGAAAAGGGTCCTTTACCTTTTTTTGTTTTACAGGTCAACGTAACCTAAAAATCTGGGGAAAAATATGTTAAATTACATAGCTGACAGCACTGTTCCATGTTTCTCTACAGACTGGATAAGTGAGTTAAATAACATAACTGACAGCACTGTTCCGTGTTTCTCTACAGACTGGATAAGTGAGTTAAATAACATAACTGACAGCACTGTTCCATGTTTCTGTACAGACTGGATAAGTGAGTTAAATAACATAACTGATACACTGTTCCATGTTTCTCTACAGTCTGGATAAATGAGTTAAATAACATAACTGATACACTGTTCCATGATTCTCTACAGACTGGATAAATGAGTTAAATAACATAACTGATACACTGTTCCATGTTTCTGTACAGACTGGATAAATGAGTTAAATAACATAACTGATACACTGTTCCATGTTTCTGTACAGACTGGATAAATGAGTTAAATAACATAACTGATACACTGTTCCATGATTCTCTACAGACTGGATAAATGAGTTAAATAACATAACTGATACACTGTTCCATGTTTCTGTACAGACTGGATAAATGAGTTAAATAACATAACTGATACACTGTTCCATGATTCTCTACAGACTGGATAAATGAGTTAAATAACATAACTGACAGCACTGTTCCATGTTTCTCTACAGACTGGATAAATGAGTTAAATAACATAACTGATACACTGTTCCATGTTTCTGTACAGACTGGATAAATGAGTTAAATAACATAACTGATACACTGTTCCATGTTTCTCTACAGACTGGATAAATGAGTTAAATAACATAACTGATACACTGTTCCATGTTTCTCTACAGGCTTGCTTTAAGTGAGTTAAATGTGATAACTGACAGCTGTGTTCCATGTTTCTCTACAGACTGGATAATTGAGTTAAATAACTGACTGCACATTTCCATATTTCTCTGCAGGCTGGATAAACTGGTAACCATTCTCCATTGCCGAGGTCATCGGGCCAGTAGAACTCATTTTGACTCCTGTGCAATTCGTACTTCAGCCACTGTTGACGAGTTCCTGCATATTTTTGGGTGATACAGTTTAAAATATTCATAGAACACATAAAAAAATGGTTCTTTTGCCCTGAGTATTTGGGTATCGGCATTTGCTGAAGGAACCTTTACACAGTGCACAATGATGGGTCCTATTGATACTTCAGAAGATGGCAGCAGTAGAAGTTGGGGGAGGATGATTTCAAGTTGATACAACTTTTACTTACCACATCTGGATGGAATGCTAAATATAAAACAAAATATGATTAGGAAGCTGAATGGGGGAAATTGAAAAGATGCACACAAACACAGCCGAATGTTTCGACCAAAGTCTTTATCAGTGGAGTACTAAATACAGCTACTAATGTACTAAATACATTTCAACAGCCTTGACCACCAAGGCGAAAATGATATCTCAGTTGCTGCTATTAAGTCCTGCTCAGGTGATCAAACCAGCCGTTACTCATTAGAAAATTGTTTTATCTATAGTTTTGGCATTCTTAGTCCTGGAGGGATCAATATTCAACACAGCTTTAATTTAATTTAATTCATTTACTTGTTTCTTTATTTAACCTATTTATATTTCTTCCCTTCTTTTCACAGATGCCTTCTTAATTATTTTGTTTCGTATTATATCCTTCATATTCATGCTTTTCCCCTTATTACGTACTTCTTTTTATTTTCTTGCTGACCATAGTTTTTTACTAGCTCTGTTGTCTTGCACTTAAAGTTTTCTAATCATAGTTTGTGCTGTATTTAGTACTCCGTTGATAAAGACGTTGGTCAAAATGTTTGATTGTGTTTGTGTGCATCTTTTACATTCCCTCCATTGAGCTTTCTAGTCACATTTTGTGTTAAATTTTGCATTTCTTGCAATCGGCTCGACTGCAGTCCCCCCCTATTTACATTTGGATGGAGGTGACTAAAAGAAACAATATGTAGAGATCACAGAAGACATTGCATGAGAAATTGTTTAGAAACATTAGGCCCTTATCTCTTTGGTTTTGTTTTTGAGAACCCAATTGTGGAGATATTCACTTCATTTTGGAATATTAGTAAAAGTAAAGTAAAGGACCCTTTTCCGCGCCTTTAGGCATATAGGGCTAGACCTATATTTTATAGACCAATCGGCACTAGATGGGTGATGTGGTAAGCGTATTGCCGGCCGCCTTTACTTCCCGGGACTGCACCCGGTACCCACTCAAGGCTGTGTTGACCTGGGAGCCAGAGTCATTTAAAAAAAAAAAAAGTCCGGCTCCACTAGGGAGTGAACCCACGACCTTACGATCCGCAGCGAGCGGAATATTGCTGCTTCATAATTTGTTTGAAAATAGAAGTAAGAATTAGTAACAGCGTTGCTGACTGATTCCTGTAAAAAACTTGTTTCTGCTGCTTGAGAATTCAATTTATATTTAAATTGATGTGAAAGGGTTAATCATTTGTTGCTTTGGTTTTGTTATAGTTTTTTTGTTTTGTTTTAATAAAGTTAAATAAACAACTGTGAAGCAACCTTTTGTTGTTATGTTGATATTAAATCTTGTGATCAGCAGTCCAGTCAGTTATTGCCTTTCCTAGCTGGCACTTTGTTATACTGTGCTATAAGAAAGGCAGTGAAATCTCAGGCCAGTCTCCTGTCCATAGCACAAAGTCTGGGCAGAATTGTAGAGCCTGTGTGTTGTCCATACATTATGACCCCCTCCCCCCGGCCTGCCTTTGTTTACTCCAGAGGGTACACAACACCACTACACTTGGAAGAAATCCTGCAATGCCCTTGTTATGTCAGTAAATATAGTCATAACATCCAGCAAAGGAATGGAGGTGGAGGCAGTAATGGCACCCGTCAGATGGCTTGGTTGTAGTGCAGTCAAATGTGTTAGAATTCTAACAGACACTTGAACAGCTTGCTTGAGAAGTTGTAACTAGTGTTCAACGGATAAAGTGGCTTGCCATTGCTTGGGAAGACTGACTAGGAGCATACTGGTTGTGTGTGGTAACAAGTGGGTTGATAGATGCGCTGCTGCCACTCTTTTGATAAGATGGACATTGTGTATGCCATCTAGGAATCATGTATGCAGTCTTCTTCTTCTTCTTCTTCGCGTTCGTGGCTTTAAACTCCAGTGGAAAGTTCTGGCTGTTCATCCACCTCTGGACCTTAGACTTGTTCCAGAACCTGAGTGTTGTGTGCACATCCATTTTTACAGATCTGACTTATTTGTATGCAGACTGTTGGTTTCTTGCCTGTCAGGCAGATGCACTCCAACTTCAAAGGAAACCCCCCGGTTAGTCGACACTTACAATATGCTTATTGGGGAGGCAGTGGGTCTATTCTTGTTTTCTCCACAATGGGGTCCAGGAACCGTCACGGGGAATGTATCCAGAGAAAAAAAAACCTATTTCCGAATGCTGCCATTTAGAGCAGAGGCCGCCTGTTGTCATTTTCTGAAAATGTTTGTGGAGTCTGAAATGATAACCATGTATGTGGCTGATTGTTCCGCTGCCCATGCAAGTGCTCTAGAACCATTTGATATCTCGCCATGGACATGCTTGACGTAGTTGCCTGATACATGCCACTATCCTCTTTTAATGTTTTTCCTATGATTTATGTTATACAGATTCTGACCTTGATCCCCTTTTAATGGACACACTAGAGAGATGAGCGTGCACGTGAATGCCTGGTGGGCAGAGACTTAAAATGTTAAACCAAAAAAAGGGGGTTCAAAGTTTGTTATTTTCATATGGAACCAGTCTTTGTTGGCCATTCTGTTAAGTTACTTGCTTTTTATATTTGTTTCAAAAATTGCTTCAGTTTTGTAATTATGAGAGCTCCCAGTGAGCAATGGGAGTAAAATTAGTAGCAACATAAAACAATGTTTGTTGATTTGTTACCCTCTACCCATCACATGCAAGGGGCGCTGACACAAAGAAAATATGGGAGCGTTAAGCAAATCGGATGGTTTGGGGAGGGGGTTGTAAAACTGACTTGCTTGGGATGTGCAGTTTTCAGCTCAGGATATTATGATCGCACTGCTGATTTGCTGTACAGGTTAATGAAATGCTTATGACGTCTTAAATGACATTCGTATCCTTTCCTTTCATTCTTTTCCCCTCTGGGCTACTATCTGAAAGTTTAACTACCCGGAAAATTTAAAAAAAATCTTAATCTAGATAGCAAGCCAATGGGACAAATACCAGGCATACTGTTTGGCCTTTAAAGTGATGATTTCATCCATCAGGTGCTGTCTCTACAGTGAAGGTTGACTGCAATGGATTTCCAACATGCTTTATCTCTTATCCTTGTTGTACACTCGATCAAACTGTTGTTTGTCCATCTCTTGATACTGTCCTCCCTCTTGTATCAGTTCCTACCTCTTGCTGTCTTGCCCTGGAATTTTCCCTCCAGTATGGTTTTTAACACCGTGTCATGTCTTTTGATATGGCTAAAGTATCTCAGTTGTCTCTTTTTTTTTCTTTCTTTCAGTAATTCTCTTTTCATTTGTAGTCTTTCCAGAATCTTGGTATTTGACTGTTTTTGTTTCCATGAAATACAACCTATTTATCTGTATATCTACATTTCCAGAGATGCGGAAGACAAATACAGAAAAACCCGACACTGGGCTACAACCTTGTATCAGTGAGATGACAAAAGAAGAAGAAGCAAAACGGATGTGCATGCAAAATGCAAATTGTGGAACAAGACTAAAGTCTAAATGTGGACAAATAACCAGAACTTTCCTCTGTAGTTTACAGCAAGTGAACATGAAGAAAAAGAAGAAGACTTTCCACAAGTGGCAATAACAATATTGTGTGTGGTTTTTCACTGGCACAGGAATGGAGCAATCATGGAGTGGCCCATATGTGGGAAATTCGAACCGTGACTCATAGACCTGGTGAATCCCACCCCACCCCCTCAATCAAGTAAAAAAAAAATTTTGTAATATACTTGGAACTTAAGTGTGGGAACCTACGAGTTAGGCCCCCCCCCCCCCCCTCCCCGCACATCATCCCATGGGACTTCATTCCATTTAATGGTCATGGTTTTCTTAGGGGCATCCGTGGCGACGTAGTTTCTGGCCAGGAGGTCTTGGGATCCAGTCCACACTGAGGTCGGATTGTTCTTGCAAAAATTACCTTGATTCTAAGGTCAGCACTGCCTAAAATGAGTACCAGGTAAATTCCTGGGAAATAAAGGCGGCTGGTGTGATATTGACCACATCATTGATCGTGTAGGAGTTGATCTACAAAACAATATTTCTAACATATACGCAATATGCCACTGGAGTGAAAAATTGACCGTTACTTTAAAAAGAAATACTTTTAGGCATTTTCATTTCATCAAAGAAGACAATATACTGAATACCTCTGGTGCAGAAGCGAACAAAGAATCACTAAAGAGGCACTTGAATGGGAAAACTATGTGATGGATGAATATAAAATAATAAATTTATACTCTGAGAAATCAATAAACACTGTAGATCCCAAGTATAACCTTGAAATTTCAACAGGATATCGTTGAAAGATTTCTGCTGCTACTATACTACTATTACTACTTATTACTTATTCAAGGAAATGAGAGAGCAGATGAGTTGGCAAATGCTGGGAGTAATCTTCCACAACCTCATCCACCATACAGCTGCAAGGAAACCAAAACAGCACTAAAGCAGTCTTTCAAGCGGGAGTGGAGAAGGCAGAATGGAGATTACAGACCAGAGAGTGACAACATAAACAAACTCAACAGGAAAGAACAAAAAACAATTTTTAGTCTTCGGACTGGACACTGTGGTCTTAAAGCACACCTGTACAGGATAGGCATAAAAGAATATGCTGCCTGTGATTGTGGAGCAGAAAGACAGACCCCTGGGCACATACTACAGTACTGCCCTTACCTCTCCCAGCAAAGACTGTGGATCTGGCCCAAGGGAGCCACACTGAAAGAGAAGCTATGGGGGACCGGTGGCGACCTTAAACCATGAATCCTATTTGTGACCCAGACGGGACTCAATGTTTAGCATGACTGATGTCGAACGCAGAAGAAGAATATTACTACTACTTTGTGGACTGGGGAAATGAGAACGCTAAAAAAACACTAAGACGAATGTTGGTGAGAGATACCAGACGCTAAAATAGATTCCACCCATGATATTGAAACAAGTGTACAGGGTGGAACTGAATATCGGCTCTGCATTTATGGAAACCTCACTGAATGGCGGGAAATGCTCATGTTCTGCTCCTGCCTTCTCTTCATGGGTGACCAGCATTACATGACTGCCCAGGACCAACCTAATGGTAGAGCGTGGGTGGGGGAGGGGATGGAGCACTAAATGTGGATTATGAAAAAAAATGATGCTGTGCAATGTTCCGTGAAACTAATTACTTTAGGGAGAAGGGATGGAGCACTAAATGTGGATTATGAAAAAAATGATGCTGTGCAATGTCCCGTGAAACTAATTACTTTATATTTAGCCGATGGATGAACATCATGGCACACTGGCGTAACCTATAAGTGCTCCGTTGTACTTCTAACTCAAGCCTGAGGTAGAAGTTTTTCAGCGCATTGCACGAACTCCGTTGCACCGGCAAGGATCCTGAAATACTGTGGGTAGATTTTAACTCAAACTTTTGCCCGGACAGCGCCGTTAAGCTACTTTTTTTTAGATTTCCAACTGCAAAGGGATTTTTTTACGTGAGCAACAATACACACCGGCATCCGATCTTACTACCTAGAGACCATGGGGAATTACTAGAAGTCCATGTGAAAAAATCCTCAGCCTTCGGTCTGAACCCGGGACCTCCAGCACTCTCATTCCTCGAGACCATGCAGGCCCCCTCCCCACCCCCCTTCCCCCATGAAACTAATCTGGAAGTCTAATTCACAGCCGTCTATAGTACTCTATAGCTATTTTAGTACAGTATAGTTGGAGACGGCTGTGGCTAACCAGTGCAACAAATGTCTAAAGTCGGACGTTGCTGCCACAAGGCGCAAATATCGCAGCCATGCTGTAAACGGGTGCAATATAATTCCGTCCTCAGGTGAACGTAGCAGCAGAAGTGCCATAAGCAACAGAAAAAGAACGGAATGAAACAGAAAAACTGCGATCGCTACAGCAAACATCAGGATGATGATGAATAGTCGTTTTCCCAGAATTCCAGAAACACTACCACAACAACAATGGCAGACGTCGAGGAAAATAAGACAACACAGTCTGTAAGTTTATAAGTTTATGATTATCAGTATGAAAAAATCCTTACGTCCTTTTCAGGACGTAATTTTTTGTTATTTGAAGCCCCACTCTGGCTTTTGCCAGGGGCCGCAATATAGGCAGGCCATAAAAATGGCCAAATGTCTGAACGCGGTTTCTGGGACCTCTCCACGGTGATCCTCATCCGCATGGTGGCACTTTGTGTCATCGGGTGTTTATCGCTTGTGTGATGTCCTGGTGGGGTAAAAAAAAAAAAAAAAATTTATCAGTGTACACATTAGCGCCTATTGTTTATTAGATTTATAGAGTAGCTTCAGTTGCATATATGTTCTGCAATATGTTTAGGTGTTCGTTTGTTTAGATTTTACATTTGCACTTACATTTAATGATTTGCTTCTCGTTGTAATAGTAATTGCGAATCGAAGAGTCGTCTGACCCGAGTAGGCGGGGCCTGTTTGTATATAAAGTACAGCAAAGAACGTACAGAAAATCATCATAACTATGTATTTTAAACAGTCTGTATACCATGTTTTTTCTTCCAAACATGACCTTAGCTTCCAGGTCGGCCCAGCCTAAAAAAGATACCGGTAAATTGCTGTGAAATACAGGCAGCTGCCGAAATATCGTCCACATCATCCAGTGAGTGTTGATTGGTCTATAGAATAAAGACCTACCACTGTATGCCCACTGGCATGGAAAAGGGTCCTCACTTTACTTAGCTTTATGCCACTTAATATTTTAGAACTTTCATTAAACCACAGATGAATTGTATACTGTTTGATATTTTACTATTTTTAGGCCGATGTTCCTGTCAAGACAAGTCTAGGGTATGATATATTTACCTTTTTTTAATAAATGGTTATGACCCTCCCCCCCTTCCCCCATCCAAACACATGTACATACAAACACACACACATGTGTATATATATATATATATGTTTGTGTGCGTGTGTGTGTGACAGTGGTCTCGAGGTATGGCGTCCGCCTCAAGTGTTCAAACCCCGGTGAAGGCTGGGATTTTTTCACTTGGACTTCTAGTAATTTCCCCTGGTCCCTGGGTAGTAAGATCAGATGCCCATGTACATTGTCGTTAAAATATTATCCAAAGTATTTCAGGATCCTCTCCGGTGCAACAGAGTTCTGGCATTGCGCTGAGATTCTTCAGACTCAAGCTTATGGGTTACACCCGTGTGCCATGATGGTGATCCATTGAGTAAACCAATATATATATAAATATATATATATATATGATATATATTATATACATAGTGAGAGAGCATGTCATCATTCATGCCGTTATTACACAGAGCTCGCAATCTAGTTCTTTCTTCCAGTCTATCATTTGCCAACCTTTTGATATCATGGATATTCACCTCATTATGTTATAATTAAATGAAGAATATCTGATCTGATGGTTTTTGGAGTCTGCTGTGATCTTTAATGTCCAACATTCATGATTTTTAATTTTTTTTTTTTTTTTTTTTTAGATTTTAAAATGGTAATCCTATTGCAGTACAGGAGCACTTTAAGTACTGCTGTGAATGAAGACCTCAAGGCATACTATCCTCTTTGTGATACATGCTAGAATAGATGCTTAACAAACATTGATCACTGTAGAACAGGGCTTTTCAACTGGCGGAGCCCTAGCAAGTGGCCTGCGGATCATTTCAAGTTTTATTGTATTAATGATCTTTCTATGCTAAGGTTTAGCCCTCTGGCCAGTGATGATCCTCATTTTTCAAATTGTGGCCTCTCTGTAAACTTAGCTGAATAGCCCTGCTGTGGAAGAAGAAAAGTTATTTATAAATTATACGCAGTTAGTAATGATGAATTAAAGAGAATTGAAGCATAGGAAAAACAGAAGATAATGAATGTTGTCATTATTATATCATGTTGTTTAATAAACTGCATCAAGAGACAGCAGATCAAATGGTTCGGACATGTGTCACAGCTACCACTAGATAGTGCACCACAGACAGCCCTGTCACTTGGACGTAATGGAGGCGGAAGATAGTAGTCGACCACACAGGCAAAAGATAGGTAGAATATCAGCAGGCTGTAAATATCAGCATCTAGATAACACATACAGAGGCTCACACCTGATGCCTCTTCAGAACCTGACTCTGAAAGAAAGAATAGGACTAGGAAAAGAAGTTGTTTGAAGAAGCTGCTAACATGTTATATTTCTTGATTAATTAATCTCAGCCTGCTTGCATTCTTGAAAACAATACCAGATTTTTGTTGTAGCCAGCTTTTTGTATTTTCTCCAGGCGTGGAATTTTGGGGACTGTTCTTGGGGACAAAGTGCGTGGAATTGGACGTGGTTCTGTCACAAACTCTCAGGTGAATGATGTTGGGGACGGCACCGGTTTCCAGGATGGAAACAGGACAAATAACAGAAGCAGCAGTGAGAGTTTTAGAGCAAGAGGCTCACAGGGTCATTTCAGAGGCGCCAGAGGTGGTAACAGACGGACTGATGGAGGAAATGGTGTTCCAAAGCCCGGTGGAAATGTTGACAACTTCAGAAATGACAGAAAATACACTAGACATACAAATGGTTCTTCAGGTGATTTTGTGGTCAGTGCAACAAGTGATGATAACAGAAGAGGAAGAGAAGAGGGTCCAGCTGGCCGTGGGAGAGAAGGTAAGGATTGGATTCTTTAAAAAAAAAAAACAGTATTGTGCTCTCCTTAGTATCAATGCCCTGTTGTGCCCTACAATGTGCCACATAAGGCTCACAGTCTATTCCTCCATTCCCCTCTATCCTGTGCAGTCTCCACGATTTCATGGATGGAATTCAGACCAGCATCTTTGGCCTCTTTCATTTAGTTTTTTTTTAAATGTACCCGCTTCCTCAATCCTTTTATTTCCCATTTTAGTGCGTGTTTGGTGATTCTCTTCTCAGGATGTGTCCAGTCTGGTGCCGTCTTCTTTGTCCTGTTACTGTTGTTACCAGTTGTAGCCCAGCTCTTCACCCCTCTTGAAATAGTTCCATTTTATGTCATAAAGGACCCTTTCCCATGCCTTTAGAAGAATTGGGCATATAGGGCTGGACCTATATTTATTTATCAGCATTTGGTGGGTGATGTGGTCAGTATCACGCCGGCCACCTTTACTTCTCAGGACTATACCTGGTACCCACTTAGGGCTGGGTCCACCTGAGATTCAAGGTCATTTTTGAAAAAAATTTAGACTTTGTCAGGACGAAAACCCATGACCTTCCGATCCGCAGGCGGGCGTCTAGCCACCAGTGCCGCAGCAACTCCCATTTTATGTTATAGTTAGTATTAATTTATTTCTTGCTGTCAGCACGTCTGCGGTCATGTCTATTTGTAACACCATTTACGACAAGGCTAGATACTTGTAATTTTTACTGTGCCTCAACAACTAGTAGTCTGACCATAGGGGGGGGGGGGGGTGGGGTCATTGTGGTAATAAAAACATGATGTGGCTAGAGACACACAGCATTTTTCCCATGCACGCTTTCTAAGTGTTTCCCCGAGCATGTTAAGATCGAGATTCGTTGGGTTCAAAGACAATGATTAGAGTTGCTGAGGAAATTTAGGCTGACAATAATCAGTTTCATTTTAGTTACTACCAGGGCACTCAAGGGTAAAAGGTAATGAACAAGTAGATTGGCTTGCTAGTAGGGCCACAGGAAGTACAGAACAAGCAATGGACTGGGCCAGTTTCTTAGTACTCTCAAGGAAGCAGGATGAATAGATGATTCAAGAGAGACGGTGAATCAGCAACATTGAAATGACTACAAAAACTTCAGGTCAAAATAATATGCTGAGTGGGATGCTGAAGATGGCTTATAGACTTGCCATATGTGCAGTTAGGATAATAACTAACTTTTTACTTTATTTGTAAATTTATTCTTATTTAGCAGGCTACCCCAAAACAAAAAAAATATATGAATGCCTATCAGTACAAAAATGACCTTGGCTCTCAAGTCAACCCAGCCTTTAGTGGGTACCAGGTGCAGTCCCAGGAAGTAAAGGCGGCCTGTGCGATGCTGACCTCACCAAGCATCTTGTGCCGATTGGTCTATAAAATATAGGTCTAGCCCTATATGCCCGATACGCCTAAAGGTGTGGAAAAGGGTCCTTTGCTTTTACTGTCAGTACTTTACAATTTGTTTATCGTACAAGTAAATTGTGTTTGTTATACACATTTTTCAGGTGCATTCAGAGGCGGAAATGTCCGGGGAAGTTTTGGAAACAGGGGTGGTTATGTAAAACAAGGAAGAGATTGGATGTGTCCAGATTTGTAAGTTTGGTCAGCAGTTTCTACTGTCTTCATAATTCTTTTTCTCCTCCTTTTTCCTCCTCCTCTTCTTTTCCTCTTGTTTCTTCTTCCTACTCCTCCTACTTTTTGTCCTTATTCTTTTTCACTTCTTCTTCTTCTCCTATTTCTTTTTCTTCTTCTTTTTCTTCTTCATGCTCCTCATTTTCCTCTGTCTTCCTCTTCCTCATTTTCTCAGTCCCTCTAGTCTTGTTCACCAGCAGAAAGTTCTGGTTGTTCCTCAGTTTCTTTCTGGTCTTTGGTCCTGTTCCAGAACTTGAGTTTTATGTTGAAATCGTTAAACGGATCTGATTTTACTTGTGTGCAGACTAATCACTTGTCTGTCAGGCAAATGCACTTTGACTTCAGAGGAAATCCCTAATTAGTTGACTTTTACGACATGCCTATTGTGGGCAGTGGGTCTTATCTTTATTCTCCCAAAATGGGTCACCAGAACCCACATGGGGAAACACACAACACAACCAAATACATAAAGCACCACACAGCAGCACTCAAAAATACTTGATGAGCAAAATAGACGAATTTTATGTTTTCTTATTTGCGTTTTTCTTTCCCTCAGTAAAATTGTTAGTTCAGGATCATTAATATATTTCTGAAAAATTACTTCTACGCTCTATACGTCTACAACCTGACCTGCTGTCTTCCTTAGCTCTTTCAGTATTGGGCATGTATTTTCTTAAACTTCTTCTAACCCACACAGTTGCTGCTTAAAAGAAATAATTGTGTGGTCTTGAAAGGAGTTACTTTTTAGCATTTACACCTTAAGACGATTGCTTTGGGTGATGGGGAATTAGTGGGTGTGCACAATTTGCTGTGATGCCTATTCTTGAATCAGTAAGTAAAAAAAGAATTAAAATAATATCACTGTGTACAAAAGACGATAGCCTAACGCTTTGAGTAGTATACACTAGTGTTATATAAAACACAAGCAAAAAAGCACAAAGTATTAAAGTGTATAATTTAAGGGGGCCCCAAAAGATACATGGTGAGTTGATTGCTACTGAATGAGTTTAATATAAATAAAATTTACTAAATATTGATTACTGATTTAAGAATCAACATCATAGCACACTGGGCATACCTATAGATGCTCCGTCTCCCACAGCAAATGATGTAAGGTGTAGATGCTAACTGTTCCCTTAGCACACTGATTATACACACGCCAATCTCTTCCTCTCATTCGCCCCTCCTTGCCGGATCCACACTAAATTCCTTGTTCACACATTCTTGCCCATGTACGACATCATCTTCATCATCATTGTATAGCAGTCCTTTGCGGAACTCTACTGTCATCACAGCTGCCTGAAAGAAACTCAGTCTCTCATCAGCTTTCTCCCACCTGATACTATTTCCTACCCAAGGTGTCACTTATATTCTGTGCTCATCTTCGTGCTGGTCTACTCCTGCCCCTCTAGCCTTCTACTCTTATTTGTTTCCAATCCACAGTGGCACCTGATATGGCCAGAATTTTTCAGTTTCCAAGATAAGGTGCTGTTTACTAGCTGATATTTCTTGATGTTTGGATTTTTTAGGATGTAGGTATTTATTTTCTTTTTGGTCTGTGCTATTCTGAGAGTCTTTCTACAGCATTTCAGCTCAAAAGCAACCATTTTCTGCCTTAATAACTGTGAGATAGTCTGGCTTACATCCGTATGTTGCTACAGGGAAGATGCGTGCTCTGAATATTTCGACTTTGATTCTCTTCTTCTTCTTCTTCCTCCCCTCCTTTTCTTTTTTTTAATCCTCCTCCTCCATCTTTTTCTTCTTCTCCTCTTCCACTTCTTCTTCTCCTCCCTATTTTTCTTCTTCCTCCTCCTACTTTTCCTCTTTTTTTCCTCTTCCTCTTAACCATATACTTTTAATGACATAAACATCAGTAATAATTGTGTCATTAATCTTTGCAGAGCTTGTGGTAACAAAAACTTTGCCTTCAGGAAAGTCTGTCAGAAATGCAACACTCCCAGGCCAGAGAGCTCATCAGTGTAAGGACTGTTCTCTACATTTTTTTTCTTTTAGAAAAATAAATACTGTAACCAGGCTCAAACTTGATCAGTTGTAGGTTTCATGCAGATGTCATACCGCTAATCCAATCCACTCATAGATACTTGAGAAAAGTTATGGAGGTTGAATGTTAAATTAAGAATCGACATCATAGCACTCAGGCATTCCCATAAGCACTCCGTCACCATCTTCAGCAGCAAACGCAGAATTCCATTTCCGATGGCACCAGTAACAGTAAAACACATTTTTGAGGTGAGAACAACAAACACATGCAGACAATATGGCCAGTTCTTTTATTCATTTTTTTGGCAAATGTAAGTGGAGACGTATTGGTCATGTCATGAAATGAACATGAATACGCTTCAGAAACTCACAGCCGGAACCCTCTGCTCCTAATGGAGAGACAACATTTGGAAGTCACACTTAACCTCCCTCACCTGGATCTACACACCTGGGCATGCTGGAGTAAAATATGCTGAAGGCATTACTGCATGTGAGAAGGTACATGGACAGAAAGGGTATTATCAGTGCTTTGCAGACTAGACTGGTTGATATCACCTCTCTCTGATGCTAACATGATCACATGATGTCAGAATGAAGCCTGGTAAAGCATACTGGTACCATCATCCAGGTCAAGAAGGGGATATTGTAACCAACTTTCCCTGTGTGGGTTCTAGGGCCCTGTCATAGGGAAAACAAGAATAGACCCACTGCCTACCCAAAAGCTTGTCGCAAGAGTCAACTAATTGGGAGCTTCCTTCAAAATCGGACTGCATCTGCCTGAGAGTCAAGGAACCAACAGTCTGCATACAGATGAGTCAGATCTGTAAAATGGATGCACACGCAATACTCAGGTTCTGGAACAGAACTGCAGTCCAGAAGTGGACGAACAATCAGAATTTTCTGCCAGAGTTTACAGCTGGTGAACGCGAATTAGAAGAAGTAACCAGCTTCTAATGGGAACAATCAGTAGAGAAACTACATGGAGAGAAGAATATGAGGCAGAGAATAATAATACCACATAGAGAGAAGTGCAGGAAATTGCAAACTGTAGGATGGCTTGGCTTGTGTTGGTTGTATGTCTAAACTATGTGGAGGATCTCCTTCTTAGTATTAACTGGCCGTATACTCCAGGGGAAAGTTCTGGTTGTTTGTTCACTTTTAAACTGTGGTCTCGTTGCAAAGCTTGAGTTGTTCATGTACATCTGTTTTACATATCTGGTTTATTTTGTGCAGACTGTTGGTTCCTCACCTCTCAGGTCAGTCAGATGCACTCCAATTTTAAAGGAACGACCTCTGATTTGCTTTTACGACATGCTTGTGTGTATATGGAGGGGGAGGGGGGCATTGGACCTATTCTTTTTTCCACCATAATGGAGCCTCGGACAGATAGGTTGTAAGATAAAAACTGCACCCATGAACTGCGATCCAGCAGTGCAATGAACCCACAGTCTGGAGGCAAACAGCTTTTGACCATGTCACCTCGTAGACTCCCAGAAATATAGTGTTAACCATGATTATCAGTCGGTGACAATATTGTGTTGATTGTGAATTATCAGTCAGTGGAAATTTAGTGTTAATTGTTAATTATCAGTCAGTGGAAATATAGTGTTATCAATTATTATTATCATAGAAAAATTGTGCTAACTGATTTTTTTTTTTTTTTCCCAGCTTAGACAAGAATGGTAAGTTGCTGCAAATTCTATTTTACAATCCACATATGTTAGTCTCATGGGGTTCAAAGGTTAGTTAAGTTTATATATAGAGACTAATGAAGTAACTCTTCAGATACAAAAACAGCTTTATTGAGCTTTTTTGTTCATACTATGTTTTTAACATTATTGCACATACTTGCTTGTTAAAAGGAATGCTTCGATATTCATGCCTTGCAGCTGATGCATATCTAACTTTTTTTTTTCAGGCATTCATTCTCCTCTTCCTCTTCTAATCTGTGGCTTGTGGTGTGAGTTCTGCAATTCTGACACAGATGATCTTCCGTACCTTGCAGCGTTGGTAGTCATTTCAGTCCACAACCTGTCTCATGTACTTTCAGTCAGTTCTGACACAGATGATCTTCCATACCTTGTGGGGTTGGTAGTCATGTCGGCCCACACTCTTTAATCTCATGTGCTTTCAGTCAGTTCTGACACAAATGGTCTTCCGTACCTTGTGGTCATCAGTTCTCGTTATGCCTAGTGGCACATGAGACTTCAGAGAGGACTTTCCATGCTTTCCTGTCCTGTGCAATCTTCAGTGCAGTTTTCCATGTCAAAGATGCCGCACTCAGGTCACTTTCCATCGTTCGTCTCCATGTTGTTTTTGGGCGCCCCTGTTTTCTCTTTCCCTCTGATGTCCATGTGAGAGCTGTTTTGGCAGGTATATCAGAAGTCATTCTCATAACGTGGCCAAGCCATTTCCATCTTCTCTTGGTAATCATTCGGTCTAAAGTTTTTTGGTTTGTGGCTTGAAGTAGCTTAGTGTTTGAGATTGTATCTGGCCAGAAAATTTTGGTAATTCTACGTAGACATGTGTGGTGGAAGGTGGACAGCTTGTGTGCATCCTTTTTGGTCATTCTCCAGCATTCCGCTCCATAAAGAAGAACTGGCAAAATGATGCTCTTGTAGAGTCGGAGTTTCGTTCCTCTGCAGTAATTGTTGGATTTCCAGATTTGCCTCATCCTTCCAAAAGCAGCTCTAGCTTTGTTCAGACGTGACTGTATGTCTTCCTCTGTCCCTCCCATTAGGGACACCACACTGCCAAGATATGTGAAATGTTCTACATTTTCAAGGGATTGGTTACTTATGGTCACTGGTTGTTGGTTCGGACTGCTTGTCATGATCTTAGTTTTCTTTGTATTTATTCTCAGTCCCACCATTTCTGCTGTGCAGTTTAGTCTGTTACTTTTCTCTTGTATATGTTCATGTTTATGTGATAGGAGTGCTATATCATCTGCAAAATCAAGGTCGTCAAGCATGGTGAATGGAATCCATCGTATGCCTCTTAATGTCCTGTCTACTGTGTTCTTTAGTATCCATTAATCACAAGGTTGAAGAGGAGAGATGACATAACACATCCCTGTCTTACACCCGTCTTTACTGGAAAAGATGTATTGTAATTTTTTATACTGCAGGAAAAGTCTTTATAGAAGAGAGCAATTATGTTGACTATTTTTTCTGGAATTCCATAATGTCGTAAAAATTTCACCAGACCATCTCTATGGATGCTGTCAAAGGCTTTCTCAAAGTCCACATAATTAATATATATACTTCTCTGTCATTCGTTGCATTGTTCTAAAATGTTCCGTATTGTGAAGATGTGCTCAGTTGTTCCTCTGCCCTTTCTGAATCCTGCTTGTTCCACTCGTAGGCATTTATCTACTCCTTTTTCAAGCCGCATTATGATGATTTTACAAAATATTTTGCTTAGTACTGAGAGTAGAGTAATTCCCCTCCAATTATTGCAGTCTGTTAAGTCTCCTTTTTTGGGGATTTTGACTATTGTTCCTTCAGTCCAGTCATCAGGCAACACTTCTTTTTCCCAAATATCCTTGAACAATGGTTCTAGAATGCTAGCAGTTGTGTTGGGATCTACTTTGAGAAGTTCTGCTGGCAGTTCGTCTTTGCCTGGTGCTTTGTTGTTCTTTAAAGTGTGGATAGCTTTAAGGATTTCTTGTTTGCTTGGTGGTTCAGTAATAATTCCAGTGTCCTGAGAGGCTGGTTGAATATCTGGGGGATTTTCAGGATCAGGTCTGTTCAAATGGTCGGAGAAGTGTTTAGTCCACTGCATGTCTTGTTTTTGTTCTGTGTTGAGCAGTCTGCCTTGGTTATCTCTGATGGGTATGCTGTGATAATTGTTTCTGTTGTACCTTGTGGTGTTGGAAGTCATATCTGTCCACAATCTTATGTCATGTACTTTTAATCAGTTTTGATACAGATGATTTTCCATACCTTATACATCATTACCTACAACCTTCTGTCCTATGGACTCTTTCACTCATTTCTCACACAGATGATCTTCCTTGCCATGATGTCACACTGTCCAGCCTCCTTTCTTTCCCTCAGCCTTTGCCACTTTTCCCTATAACTTTCCCACGCCAGGATGTACTCCACTTGTCTCCTGGAGACAAGACAAAAGAATGTAGATTGCCTCCTTGTGATGTGGGCAATCAGTTCTCTTCATGTGTTAATTTCTTCTGAGGCATTCATTTACCATATTCACCTTGCTAGTAGTTTTGTAGAACATTCTGCCATCTCACTTTTGTAACTTCATCTACAGTCTGTTTTATCTACTGTTGGTAGGCAACCATTAGTACCTAGAGACCACGAAGTTGTGCCTCTGGATTTGGGAACATCGTCTGCTGTGAAAATACTGACATTCTTAAAGATCTGAAGGTAAAGGAAGATCAGCTAATAAACAGCATCTTGTCTTGGAAGCTGAAATATTTTGGCGATATCAAGGGCAATGGCTTATTGGAACAAATAATAGCAGAAAGCATGGTACCAGGAAGGAGGGGCAGGGGCCGTCCAAGTTTCTTTCAGGCAGACTGTGATGAGAACGACGTTCTACAAAGGAACTTCTACATGGTGATGATAATGTCTGTTATGACTGTAAAGTCTAATTCGGGAGTGGCCGTCTCTGCGGCATAGTCCACATAAAAACGTTGATATTCTACTATACTGAGGCTGTTTTTCTCTCAGACGGCTTCTCTCTATAGCTTGCTTCGCTTGGCCTTTTGCAAAATGTGACAGTGTCTGCCGCCACAGGAGTCAGTCTGCAGCTGATCTCTCCCAAATGCTGATGTCAATATTGGTATCTTTCATAACATGTCCTATACGATAAGTACTATAAGATTGATATGGCCAATCCAGCGGTTACTTTAACATTGATATAGTCAGTCCTGAGGTTACTATAAGATTGACATGGTCAATCCTGCGGTTAATATAACATTGACATGGTCAGTCCTGAGGTTACTATAACATTGACATGGTCAGTCCTGAGGTTACTATAACATTGACATGGTCAGTTCTGAGGTAACTATAACATTGATATAGTAAGTCCTGAAGTTACTATAAAATTGATATAGTCAGTCTTGAGGTTACTATAAAATTGATATAGTCAGTCTTGAGGTTACTATAACATTGACATGGTCAGTTCTGAGGTTACTATAACATTGATATAGTCAATATGAGGTTACTATAAAATTGATATAGTCAGTCCTGAGGTTACTATAAAATTGATATAGTCAGTCTTGAGGTTACTATAACATTGATATAGTCAGTCCTGAGGTTACTATAAAATTGATATAGTCAGTCCTGAGGTTACTATAAGATTGATATAGTCAGTCCTGAAGTTACTATAACATTGATATAGTCAGGACTTCCGGTTAAAATGGACGCTAGACAGCGGCGCTGTGTCGGAGCGGAGGCAAATTTTTTGCTTCTGCCGGACGGTGGCCGAAGTATTTTTGCTCCATTTGTAGACTGGATATAGTTTCGTCGCCCAGCTTCTGAGTTGAATGCATGGCGTGACCCTGTGAGCTGCGGATTGCATTTGGAATGTTTTTTCGACTGTGACCAACGTGGTGTGAATTGTAGATTCAGAAAATGGCGCGATGCCGGTCGTCAATGTTGGCGGTGCCCGTGTGTGATTACAATTGATCGCGTGGGAAACTGCTGATCTGTTGGCGACAAGTTCTGCTATCATCAATGATGAACTGCATTTCTAATGTTGGACTGTTTGTGTTAGCACTTCGGATGGCTACCATATGCTTTAATGCGAGTGTATGCTAGATATGCTGAGACAGCAGTCTGTCAATCTTTCCACAAGGGACTGTGATAAACATTCTGGGTGTTTTTCGCTGGCACAGGAGCAGAGCAAAGATGGGGCGACCCGTTTGCTATGAAGCTGAAACTAAGACTACCAGACTGATATAGTCAGTCCTGAGATTACTATAAAATTGATATAGTCAGTCCTGAGGCTACTATAAGATTGATATAGTCAGTCCTGAGGTTACTATAACATTGATATAGTCAGTCCAGAAGTTACTATAACATTGACATGGTCAGTCCTGAAGTTACTATAACATTGACATGGTCAGTCCTGAGGTTACTATAAAATTGATATAGTAAGTCCTGAGGTTACTATAACATTGATATAGTCAGTCCAGAAGTTACTATAAGATTGACATGGTCAGTCCTGAGGTTAGTATAACATTGATATAGTCAGTCCAGAAGTTACTATAACATTGACATGGTCAGTCCTGAGGTTACTATAACATTGACATGGTCAGTCCTGAGGTTACTATAAAATTTATATAGTCAGTCCTGAGGTTACTATAAAATTTATATAGTCAGTCCTGAGGTTACTATAAGATTGATATAGTCAGTCCTGAGGTTACTAAAACATTGATATGGTCAGTCCTGAGGTTACTGTAACATTGACATGGTCAGTTCTGAGGTTACTATAACATTGATATAGTGAGTCCTGAGGTTACTATAAAATTGATATAGTCAGTCCTGAGGTTACTATAAGATTGATAAAGTCAGTCCTGAGGTTACTATAAAATTGATATAGTCAGTCCTGGGGTTACTATAACATTGATATAGTAAGTCCTGAGGTTACTATAAAATTGATATAGTCAGTCTTGAGGTTACTATAACATTGATATAGTCAGTCCTGAGGTTACTATAAGATTGATATGGTCAGTCCTGAGATTACTATAACATTAGTTATACATTTGTCATAGACATTCCTGAGGTTACTATAACATTATTTATACATTTGTCATAGACAGTCCTTAGGTTACTATAACATTATTTATACATTTGTCATAGGCAAGCCTCAGGAATACATCCCCCCAGCTCCTTCAGACAAGGAGGAGGACATATTTAGCGGGGCCGTCCAGAAAGGAACCAATTTTGACAAATACGATGACATACCAGTGGAAGTGAGTGGCAGAGATCAGTGTGGATTAATCTATTCATTTGAAGATGCAAACCTACATCCAACATTTCTGAAAAATTTACAACTTGCCAATTATGAAAAACCAACACCAATACAGAAGTACTCCATTCCTGTCATCAGTGCTGGGAGAGATCTGATGGCTTGTGCTCAGACGGGTTCGGGAAAGACGGTAAGATGTGTTGTTATATGCTACATGTATGAGTCGTGGGTGATGACAAAAGCTCACAGATGCCAGCATCAGGCCTCGGAAACGAGATATCTGATGTCCAAGTGACAAAAAGCACAAAGTTCGCAGTCAGACAGCAGGTCAAGATCTTGAAACCCAGGCCGTACAAACGTGAGTGTATCAGTTACAGTTATGATGGTTTGGACATGTGTGCAGTTAAGGAGAAAATCGGCCACCATGGCAGGCATGGGAGGCTAAGAACCGGCGAACCAGACATCTAGGGTGACCCAAGATCTGCTGGGAAAACAACATCTGACAGTCCCTGAGTGACAGAGGACTTGAATAGAACAAAGCCAGAAAGAAAATTGCTGAAAGAGAAGTCTGGCGATCTCTCTGGTAAACATCTGCACCCCCAAGGTAGAAGAGCGACTAAATAAGTTGTTATATGCATGTGAAACAGGGACAAAAGGCAGACAAGCTGAAAACATTTACTCGCGGCAGAGGTGTGGTTTCTGAGAAGAATGCAAAGAATATTGTGGAAGAATAGAACAAACAAATGATGCGGCCCTCATTGAGACAGATGAAAGTCGCAAACTAATTTGAACAATTAGACATAGACCGTCAGTGTTTTGGGCACATATTTTGAGAAGGGATGGATTTGAGAACTTGGTAAAAACTGGCAAGATTGATGAAAAGAGAGCAAGAGGAATGCAAAGAGATAAATACCTGGATGGCTTGGCTGGATGGATCGGGCGAGATAAAAACATTGAAGTGATTCTGGTGATCGTGTGAGATGGAGAAACATGACAGCCTGTGCTTACCGGCACAACACATGATGATGATACTCATCAGTTTTGTCCCTACTCTTTAGCACATTCGGTTGAATTTTTAGAATAAATGTCTAAGGAGAATCCTGCTAGTGTACTGGCCAGATGAGATCACAAGTGACCAACTGAGGAGGGCAAGAAACTGTTCATCATCAGTCAATCAGGTATCATCTTCACAGTGAAGGTTGGCTGCAATGGATCTCCAACATGCTCTGTCCCTTGTCCTGGATGTATACTCTCTCATACTGCTGCCTGTTCATCTCTTGATGTTGTCCTCCCACTTGTATCGTTGCCTACCTCTTGCTCTCTTGCCTTTGACCTTTGCCTCCAGTTTAATTTTTAAAAGTGTGTTATGTCTTTTAATGTGGCCAAAGTATTTCAATTGTCATTTTAAAAATCTCTTTCAATAATTCTTTTTTCATTTGTAGCCTTTCCACAACCTCTGTATTGGACTGTTTTTGTTTCCATGAAATACGACCTATTCTTCTGTATGTCCACTGTTGATCACTGGCGGATATTATCAGAGGAAGAAGATGGTGTTAGCTTGGACATGTTTGCACTTTAGCAAGTACAGCTTTCCGATGGACATCAGATAGGAGAAGGAGATAACGGACAACAGATGGAAAAAATGAGATGTGAATGACCTAAGAAAATCTGGAGGATACTAGAAAGGGAAATAAAGGAGTTTAAACTGACATGGGCGGCGGTGAGCAGAAAAGCAGCAGATCCACAGGAGTGGAATCACTTGAGCAGGCCTGTAACATGTAGAGAATACAGATATACATCATGTCATCAGTCAGTCAGGTGCGATCTTCACAATACCTCTCCACCAACTGTCTGTCTCTTGTCTTGGTAGTACACTCTCAAATGCTGGTTGTCCATCTCTTGATGTTGTCCACACACTTCTATCATTGTCTACCTCATGCTCACCTGCCTTCAGCTTTGCCTTCCAGTAAATTTTTTAAGAGGGTATTATATCTTTTAATATAACTGAACAATTTTATTTGTCTCTTAGAAAATTTCTAAAAAAGATTTGTTTTTTAGCAACTTTGTTTTCATTTCCATTGTCTCCAGAACCTCATTATTTGATTTGGGGGAAGAGGGGGGGGGGGTTGAGTGTGCTTTGTTGCCATGAAATACAAAATATTCTCCTGTATATCCACATCTTCAGAGACTCATTTCAATTTCCGAATGCTTGTTTGGTGTCCAGGTTTCTACCCTGTACAGTAGGTTTGAGTGTAAATAACATTTGATGATTCTCATTTTGAATGAGTTGTTTATCTTTTGAGATGTCAGTAATTCTTACATGTTATTGGACATACTTTTGGCCATTAATTTTTTTCGTTTTTGTCTCTATTTCCCCTTTTGGCATCATCTGTTATTTGTCCTTTATGCCTCTATCTCTTCCCCCATCTGTGTCTATATATTTTTTTAATTGCCATTACTACCTGTATATGTCACTTTTGGGATGAAGAGGAGGGGAAGGCTCTTTGAGCCTCAGAATTTAGGGCCACATGGCTAGTGCTGTCGCCACGGACTGTGCAGGTTTATATTTTTTATTTGCCCCCATCGGAAACAAAATTCCACAACCTTACCCAGGATTCAAATTTGGGTCTTCTGTACAAAAGCCCAAAGTTCTTAACCGTTCAGCCAGCTGCTACTCTTCATCTAGATTACTGCCTAAATATATGTTTTACTCCATATTGTGGAATTTCATCAGGAGAGATTGGTTTATTATTTAAGTGAATTATTCTTAGTCTTAGCCAAGGTTTCAGCTTCACTGTTATCGAGTTTCTTCATAGTTGCTCCATTTCTAAGCCAGTGGAAATCAAACGAAATGTCTCTCACTTTCTCATTTGAAAAAAAACTGGTGAACAAACTATTAGACCAGGAACAATCCAGAAATATTTGCACGCTATAAATGCATATGGCAGTTGCTAGAGATGCCAAAGCCAACAGCTGCCACCAGAAATGCTGGTTGTCGTTGATGGAATTATTCTTATTATCTTTGTAATTTTTCTGTGAATTAGACAGTTTTACAGCGCTAATTATATGCATTATGACAAATAATTAGAAAATATTTCATTTTTTCAACAATATAGGCAGCCTTCCTGTTACCAGTTCTGACTGCCCTGATCAAGAAAGGACTGACAATGGATCAACACGAAGAATTTCAGAGACCTCGAGCAATCTGTGTTGCCCCGACCCGTGAGTTAGCCTTGCAGATCTACAATGACTGTCGAAAGTTTGCTTATCAGACAGAGGTCAGGGCAGTAGTTCTCTACGGCGGAACATCGGTTGATTACCAAATGAAGCAAGTGGAATGTGGAGCTCATTTTATTATTGGCACGCCAGGTCGGCTGCTGGATGTAATCAACAAAGGAAAGGTTGGTTTTATGTAAATGTTTTAATCTGTAATACCTTCTTTGGATCATTCTTCTTCTTCTTCTCTAAGTCTTACAGAACACAGGCCCTTGTACTTCCTGTAAAGTTTCCTTGTGCTTTTTCTTAGACTGGGTCTGCCTGAGAGGTGTTACCTTTTATCTGGGGTAAACAAGGCAAGCCAAGTGAGGGATCGAGCTGCATAGGCAATAAATGATTACAATACTGCACAGGCCTGGGAGGGCAGGCCAAACAACAAATGCCTGTACAAGTTGGATGCGTTGGCCGAAAGACATGAAAATCACAGCCATGTTGTAAATGAGCACAGTCCATTTCAACTTCAGATGAATACAGAAGAAGAAGAAGAAGAGGAGGAAGAAGAAGTAGCAGTGCACAGGCTTTGTGCTAAGTAGCGGAGAAGTTTCATCACCGGCCCTGATCGGATGTGATTCCAAGTCTGTATAATTCTGTATAACGCTTGTCTAGAAAGACGTAAAGGTGCCAACAAAAATTAGTTCATAAAATTTAAAAATTTCATCTTAATGGGTATTTGAACCTATATTGAACCTGATTACATTTTTCCCTGTGTGGGTTCCGGGGCACTATTGAAGTGGAAAAAAAAAAGAATAGACCCACTGTACCCCCCTTCCCTACACAAGCTTGTAAAAGGCGACTAATATTGTATATCTTTTCAGTATGTAGACTTTTCGTTGTAATCGTCTTTGAATTAGATTATTTTTAAAAAGTTGAAAAAAAAAAAATTCCGCACACATGCATACTCTGCATTTGACACATCCAAATAAGAAGCGAGCAGAGAATCACCAAACATGCAAGAATTCTGAAGCAAATGGATTGAGGAAACAAGGACATCCAAGGAAAACCCTGGAATGCCATTGATGAGATAACCCAGAGGAGATGGACTGGGTTCCATCCGTGATATTGAAACGATTGTACAGGATAGAGCAGAGTGCAGGACTAGACTGCAAGCCGTGAGTGCCACAACATGATACTGACTTAGTCGCCTCTCTTCTACCTTGGGGTATAGAGGTTTGCCAGAGAGATCTCCAGACGTCTCTATCTACAGTTTTCTATCTGGCTTTGTTCCATTCCAGTACTCTGTTTTAATCATGGACTGTCGGATGTTGTCTTCCCAGCAGACCCTGGGTCACCCTGGTGGTCTGGTTCCATAGTTTTTAGTCTCCCATACCTGCCATGGTGGCCCATTTTATCCCATTCTGGATCAAACCATCATACATAACAAAACATAACCCTTGACCCGTTAGGGTCATGGAGGTGTGTGCACTAGCACGTAAAACCCGCCATCTTTCTCTTGTCTTCGGCTTGATGAATAAGTGTAAGATAACATAGTCCTGTCCATCAGTCTTTGCAGTCGAATCATGTCTCACCACATGCCCAAACCAAGATAGCTTGCAATGTTTTTTAGCACCATCATAACTGTGACTTATCCACTTGAATTTGTGAGACCTGGGTTCAACAGGAAGATAATGATAATAATTTTTTGTATTTTTCTGTTATCTTTAGATCAGCTTGAAAGATGTGTCCTTCTTGATCTTGGATGAAGCCGACCGAATGTTGGACATGGGATTTGAACCTGAGGTTCGTAAGCTGGTGGAGACGCTGGGCATGCCTCCCAAAACCGAACGCCAGACTGTCATGTTCTCCGCTACATTCCCTGAAGAGATACAGAAACTGGCTGCCGATTTCCTTAACGATTACCTTTTTGTCACAGTTGGCCGAGTGGGAGGAGCCAACACAGATGTTTCTCAGCATTTTTTTGAAGTCGATCGTCTTCAGAAGCGGGAATCATTGTGTGACATTTTAAATGCGGGAGGTATTGTTAGATTTAATATTTCCTTTTTTTTATAATGTGAGATTGATGTATATGTATATACATATAATCATTATAGTAATATAAATTATAAAGTTGTGCCATTATATGTGTATCTATAATGGCACAACAGGAGGATAATTGATTATATAGGTATATGAGTGTGTTATAATCACCCTATTATGGCATAATTGTCATTTAAGGATCACAGTCAATTCCACTGTTCTATTAAATACTATGAATCCTTTTTGATATCAAAGTCCAGCCCTTTTGGCCTCTTATCGACATTCTTTTAAGAGTTTCTTTTGTGTGTCCTTTTCTGCTCAATCCTTTATTTTCCTGTTTTAATGTTTGTTCGGTGATTCTGTTTGGTGACTTTCTGCTGGCTTCGTCTCAGGATATGCCCAATATAGAACCATCAAGGTGAGAAAATCACTTCAGTTCACAAGAATGATGTTTAATATTTTAGTGTTGAAAATACCATATGAGGATACAGTGAGATAGCATTTTGAAAATAGCTAAGACACAAAGACACAGGAAAACACAGGAAAGTGGTCAACCACAATTATTGGCCACATTAGAAAAGAAATAGCATACTAGTAATATTATTGGGGGAAAAAGATAGACGATGACAAGGAGACCTCTTATTTATTTTCAGGAGGAGAAAAGACTCTAGTTTTTGTGGAATCCAAAAGAAATGCAGATTTCCTGGCCTCTTATTTGTGTCAATCAGGTTTTCCAACAACTAGCATTCATGGGTAAGTTTTTAAGCATGATTATAATTTTTTTTGGGGTTCTACTGCTTATCTAAAAAGGGATTTCATGTTCAAATTCTTCCACTGCTCCTTATTTTCAGCATATATTTACAGCATATATTTTCAGCATATATTTACAACGTATATTAACAGCGTATATTTTCAGCATATACTTTCAGCTTATATTTTCAGCATATATTTACATTTGGTAAGATCATAGCTGGGTCTACTTTTACTGAACCGGTCTTAGCTAAATATAGACATGATTGATATGGAACTTTCCCAGGTGGGTTCAGGGGTGCCATTTGGGGTGGGGTGGATAGACCACCCCCCCCCCCTTCCTTGCTCCTTACCAAGCATGTTGTAAAAGGGGACTGATTAAGGATTTGCTGAAATAGGATTTTGTTTGCTCAAAACGTGTTAATATCACAGCTTAGTTGTAAACCATCCTTTTTGTGACAACTGATAACTATCATTCTTGTGGTAATCTGTCCAGTAGAGATAGGGTAATAGTTTCAGTACCAAGCCAATGAACATGAAAAGTTGTCTGGCAATATGGAATATGGAGGAATATAATATGAAAATAAACACTATGAAGACAGAGACAATGGTGATAGGAAGACAGAAAGGCAATTTAGAAATACAATTAAAAAACAACACCTTAAGACAAGCAGAGGAATTTAAGTATTTGGGAGCAATTTTCACATCCGATGGAAAACTGGACAGAAAAATTAGCTCGAGATGTGCCAGAGCTAATCAAGTAATGGGGCAACTATCTCCACCTAACAAGAATGCTCTGGTACTATCTGCCACAGCGAGCCACACTAAAACATTACAACGGGTATAGAGCGAGTGGAAGACCTAGGAAAATATGGAGTGATGGCATTAAGAACAGCCTTAGAGAAATGAACATCAGTCTTAATAGTGCTCTAGACAGAGCTCATCAACAAATGTTACAACCCCCCCACCCCCTCCCACCTGACATTTTGCTGAGAGGTAGAAGGTGGAAGAGAAGAAAAAAAAGAAGAAGTCTGGCAGTATAGCTTTTATGAGCACATGCTCTTGTATTCAGCTCCAGCTTTAACCTGTTTCCACCCAATTGTTACTTCAGTTCTTTTGTCCCATCATGTTGTTATTTGAATGCCTTCAGACTCAAAACCCTTATTACTTGAAGCAGCAGTGTTTTGGAAATTAAGAATTCAAGGAAAACATGACTGGGATCGATAGATTTAAGCTAGACATAGTTGTGGATCTATTTATAGTCAACTTTACTGTGATGATTACCTTCAAGCTGGCAAGCAAGCACCTGGCCACTGCATTACCATGGCTACCAACCGCATCATCATCATCAAGTCCTTGCTGACTGGCATGGGTGATCATACCTTTCCACAACTTGCCATTCTCCAGCAGCATGGATAATTTTGGCTGCATACCGTCTTGACCTTCTTCCATGACATAACAAAATACTGTCAAGAATCGTTACATGTTTGCTTCCTCTGTCTGTCTTAACGGTCATCACATGTTCCAACATTAGCATTAGTTTCTTCTTCTTCTTCTTGTTCACCGGCTGTGAATTCCGGCGGTAAGTCGCGGTTGTTCGTCCAAATGGACTTTTGGCTTTTACCTCGACCTGAGTTTTGCGTGTACATCCGTTTTACTGGCTTATTTGTTTGCAGTCCTCGTTCCCTGCCTCACCGGCAGATGTACTCCGACTTCGAGGGAAGCATTAGTTTAATAAGTAAAATACTTTACAAAATTATGTGTGAGATATGTGTAAGATATGTTGTGGGAACTACAGGAGGAGACACAGAGACCTGTGAAGAACTAAGAACAGTGGTAGGCACAGAACCGGTAAATTATGTCATAGAACATCAAAGAATCACATGGTTTGGTCATCTGGTCCAATAGCACAAAATCAGCAAACAGCTAGAACGTACTACCTGAGAACAGCAGGCTAAAAGTCAACAGGGTGTCCAAGAAAGACATGGGTGGAGGGAGTAAAAGAGGCATTACAGAAACAGTATGACATTAGTGCAAGCTACGCAACTAGCAAAAGCCAGGAAACTACATCAGACGCCTCTTTGCGATGATTTACATCAGGGCTGTTCGACTTAGTTTACCTAGGGGCACAAATTGTGAAAATACTGGCCGTCACTGGCTAGAGACCCAAGGGCCAGCATGGAAAGATCAATAATATAAAATATATACAGCTGGCAATGATCCATGGGCCACTGGCTAGGTTTTTGCAGGCGAGATTTGGCCAGCGGGCTGCCAACTGAATAGCCCATCTTTACGGCATAAGCCAGTGATTCCCAAACTGTGTGCTGTGGCGCCCCAGGGAGCCGCTACCTCTTCACAAGGGCGCTGCAAAATATTCAAAGATACACAAGTTTTATTTTTTTAATCTCTTATGAATAGACATACTTTTACTTAAGTTTCGGGCGCCGTGGAAAAATTTTAATTGAAAAAAGGCGCAGCGACTAAGAAGAGTTTGGGAAATACAAAAGAAGACATAAGTACTTTAGTGTTGAGGATCTGTGACAACAGTTCATTATCATGGCCTCCAGGATTGCTTTGTGAAAGATTACCTCTTTCAGTACCAGAAGGAATTTGCGTAGGATTTGCCATTTAAGAAATATCCACATTTACTCATCAGTGATTTACTTTCAAAGTGGTGATATAACAGTAGTAGAAAAAGACTAAATAAGCCAGATTTCTTGAGTGATTTTTGACCAAATACAAAAGTAAGAGAGCGTATTAAGCTACATAGGGGGATGCAGCAGAGAGGGTAGTTCACCCATCACGTGTTGTTTGGGGCTCAAAGAATTAACACCCAGGGACTTAAAGCATCACTGTTTGAAATCCAACAGGAGCACATCCTGAAAACCCAGTTCAACCTCACAACACTGTTATACTAGAGCAGCGATTCTCAACCTGTGGGTCGCTACCCCTTTAGGGGTTGAATGACCCTTTCACAGGAGGTCACCTAAGACCATCAGAAAAAACATATTCACTGAAGTTATGAAGTAACAATGAAAACAGTTTTATGGTTGGGGGTCAGCACATCATAAGTAACTGCACTAAAGGGTTGTGGCGCTGGGTAGGTTGAGAACCCCTGCATTAAGGCTTCCCATGGGTACGAAGTGTCCTGTAGTCCAGTTTAGATAGACTGATTGAAAGGCTGTGTTTAATTTCAGAGATCGTCTTCAGAGGGAAAGAGAGGAGGCTCTCGCAGACTTCAAAACTGGTAAAGCCCATGTTCTTGTGGCGACATCTGTTGCTGCCAGGGGCCTCAATATTCCGGAAGTCATGCACGTGATAAACTATGACTTACCATCTTCAATTGACGAGTACGTGCACCGAATAGGAAGAACCGGACGCTGTGGCAATCTTGGGAAAGCCACAAGTTTTTTCACTGCAGAGACTGACCAACCCATGACTGCTAATCTTGTCAGAATTCTGAAAGAGGTATGAATTATTTTTTTACCTCATTTTGGGAGAAAAAAGAATAGGCTGTGCCCCCCTCTCCCACAAGTATGTTGTAAAAGGTGGTGACCAGTTAGAAGTCTTACCTTCGAAGTCAGGGTGTCTCTGCCTGAGAGATGGGGAACCAACAGTCTGCACACAAATCAGCCCAATTTAGAAAACGGACGTGCATGCAAAAAAAAATCCAAGTTCTTATACAAGACCAAAGTCCAGAAGTGAGAGAACAGCCAGAACTGTGTGCCAGAGTTTACAGCCAGTGATTGCCAAGATTATTATTTTATTTTCTCAGTTCTGCTTGTCTTGTTTGGGAGCCATGGCAGACAGACTAGCTGCTGGTCCGTAGTTCTAGGGTTCAGATCTGCATCAAGGCAAATTTCTGTCGAAATCGACCTTGGCTTCCTGGTCGACCCGGCCTAAAATGAGTAGCAGGTGATGTTCTGGAAAGTAAAGGTGGCTGGCATAATGATGACCACATCCCCCATCAGGCACTGATTGGCCTATTAAAATATAGGTTTAGCACTTCGTGCCTGATGGGCCAAAGTTGTGAAAAGGGTTCATCTACTTCTTTCATTTTATTATTTCAAGTCTGTTAGGAAAGTTTGTTGCCATGGCAGTAACTAAAGCAACAACATGGCTGGAGACAGACATTTGCTTGCACACGGCTTTCTGTGTGACTTGGTGATTATGCTCACGAAGGTAGAGATGTCTCTGAGGGGGTCGAGGGTAACAAAGATCAGCTTCATTCTTGTACCAGGCCTCACAGGTGTGCAGGAAAATGAGAAAGCTGATAGGCTTGCAGATAAGGCTACTGTGGAGGGCAGAAGAGCCGTGGTCCAGGCTGAATGTTCTACGAGAAGTTAGACGTTTATGAGAACCAAGTGACTGAATCTGCAAACATGACCAGACTGCAAGAACAGCAAGCTAAAAAAAGAAGGTGCTGCCAGACAAGAGCAATTTGTAGGAGGCTAAAGAAGAATACAAAGCCAACACAGGGGGCATGTGTGGTCTTGAGGCATGGTGTCCGCCTCGAGTGCTAGAGGTTCTAGGTACAATCCCCTGTAAAGGCTAAGACTTTTTCACGTAGACTTGGACTTCTAGTAATTCCCCCTGGTCTCTGGGTAGTGAGATCGGATGCCTGCGCGCATAGCTACGCACGTAAAAAATCCCTTGGCAGTTGGAAATTGAAAAGAGTAGCCTAACGGTAAAATCCGGGCAAAAATTTGGAGTTTAAAATCTACCTAAAGTATTTCAGGATCCTCGCCGGTGCTACAGAGCCTGTGCACTGTGCTGAGCTTCTTCGTAATCAGACTTGAGTTAGAAGAAGAACCTAGCACTTATGGGTTACTACCCGTGTGCCATGATGTTGTTCAAACCCGTGTGTTGATCCATGATGTTGTTCAAACCCGTTTGTTGATCCATGATGTTGATCTGTTGTTCAAACCCATCTGTTGATCCATGATGTTGATCCGTTCAAATCTGTGTGTTGATCCATGATGTTGTTCCGTTGTTCAAACCCGTGTGTTGATCCATGATGTTGTTCCGTTGTTCAAACCCGTGTGCCATGATGTTGATCCGTTGTTCAAACCTCATGCAAAGCCAACACAGTAGTGGTGTCATCAGCTACTATATGCGGCAGGATTTCACGAGGAGATCCGAGGACATGGACTGAATAGTTTGATGTGCAGTCAGTCTCTTGACTAACTAACAGTTCAGAAAGTATCCAACCATAGTTTTCCCCTATGGAAACCCATCAAGCATGGAAGCTGTCCTCCAATAAGAAAGGTGTAATGGACCTTCATGAAAATGTGTGGACTGTCTTCGGCTCCCAGAAAGTGTCAGTAGCTGGCAGTTAGTCTGTGAGTGAGTCAGAGGAGTGTGAATACCTATCAGATTTTTAATTTGGCTCATCCCCATTAGGGTTCTGCGCTCCCATTTTTTTGTGGCCAAAAAAAAAAAATAGGAAAAGAAAGAAAGAATGGACCCACTGCTTTTGAGATGTCTTTGAGAATACAGCTATAAGACATTAAATTGTGAGATTATAATTATAAAGCATTAAATTGTCTATAGGAGGCTACATGGTCTCGAGGCATGGTGTCCACCTTGAGTGCTGGAGGTTCTGGGTTCAATCCACGGTAGGGGCTGGTATTTTTTCACGTGGACTTTGACTTCTAGTAATTCCCCCAGGTCTCTGGGTAGTGAGATCGGATGCCCTAGTTAGTGCATTGTTGCGCACATAAAAAATCCCTTGGCAGTTGGAAATCGAAAAGAGTAGCCTAATGGCACTGCCTGGGCAAAATTTTTAGTTAAAAATCTACCCAAAGTATTTCAGGATCCTCGCCGGTGCTACAGAGCCTGTGCACTATGCTGAGCTTCTTTGGACTCAGACTTCTTCTTCTTCTTCTTTGTGTTCGGTTTCGTATGCTCAGATCAGACCATCAGGTGGGTTGCCTCTATGAACGTGCATGTCAGCTGCAGGTCCTTCATGGTTCCCCATAGCTTGCTCTGCACACTCTGCTCTTGAGGCCAGATGTCTTTTTGAAGTTGTAGATAGAGTGGGCAGGTCTGCAAAATGTGCTGGGGTGTTTGTGGTCCTGTTTGACAGGTACACTGTGGGGACTGTACAGTCTTTATCGTATGCATGTGGTAGTTGAGCCTGCAGTGTCCTGTTCGTAGACGGAAAATTGTTGTGTTACTTTCTGTTGAGTCTGCTGATAGGGTCTTGTGGATGTTTACTGTTGGTTTGTTCTCTCCACAATCCTTGGTATTTTCCTTTGATAAGTGTTTTGATTTCTGGTAATGACAATGAATGGGCGTGTTGTTTCTTCTTTGTTCCATTTTGGACTCAGACTTGAGTTAGAAGAAGAACGAAGCAATGTGCAATGATGTTGGTCCGTTGTTCAAACCTCAACTCTCATTCAATTGTCTGTGAGATAATAACTGAGACATTACATTGTGAGATTTCAACTCTGGAACATTAAATGATGGGATTACAACTCTGAGACATTAAAACACCTATTAGATTACAACTATGAAACATTTTATTGCGTAACAGTAGGTTGGCAAATTAGGAAGTTATAACATAAAAAAATTTACAATATTGCCAGGCTTGCCAGCCAATACCAGATTGGCTTGTAGAACATTCAAGGGGCATGGGTGCCGGAGATGCTGGCAGTTTCAACAGCCGGTTTGGTGGCAAGGACATCAGGAGAGGAAAGGTAACTTTCAGTTAATATCATTTTAAGAAATCATTAATATTTCATATTTTTGTTGGTTGACGGCTCTGAGCATTGGTCGGCACTATCTCTTTGTCATTGTTTAAAATTTGTAATCAGATTTTAACCTTAACTATTATTTGTATTCAAGAAGTGTCTGTTATGTAAATATTCCTTCTTTTAGGTTTGTCTTAGATTGTAAAGACAGTGATTGATTGATTGACTTTCTACCCCACTAGGACATCACACAAGCGATAAACACCCGATGACACAAAGTGCCACCATGTGGATGAGGATTGCTGTAGAGAGGTCCCAGAAACCGCGTTCAGACAATTGGCCATATTTATGGCCTGCCTATATTGCGGTCCCTGGCAAAAGCTAGGGTGGGGCTTCAAATAACAAAAAATTTCGTCCTAAAAAGGACGAAACACCTGTTTAACAATTCCAACACTAGGTAAGTATAAAAACAGTGATTAATGACAGTGCAGTAATAGAATGAGTTTTTGAAGCTTGTTAGAACCCATCGTGACGATTAGAAGTTCAACTTTTTCAGTCAGCAGATTAGTGGGAGCTTATGATTGGGAGATAAAAGACTGAAAAAAAAAAGGAAGATTAGGGATTACAAAATGAGTCGCCATGGTGTAGCGGCTAGACACTCTCCTGCGGATCGGAGGGTCTGGTTCTGACAGAGCCGGACTTTCTTCAGAAATGACCTTGGCTCCCAGGTTGACCCAGCCTTAAATGGATGGGTACCACATGCAGTTCTGGGAAGTTAAGGCGGCAAGCATGATGCGGACCACATCACGCACCAAGTGCTGATTGGTCTATTGTTTGTTTTAGTATCCAGAAGCCATGAGTTGTTAACCCTTAGGCTCGGTATTATGGATATCGCAACCTTTTGGCCTTGATTCCATTGTAAATACCGTAAATCTGGGAGAAATGTGGCTTTTCTGCCTACCCCCGGGAGTAAACCCAGACCACAAGGAGTTCGTCACCCGGTCTCCGCGCAATCCGGTTTAGCCAACTACGCTAGAGAGCCGGGCTCTGATTGGTCTATAACAGCGGTTCTCATACTTTTTTCGCTGCGGAACCTGTGGCGGGCAAATTAGTTTGACGGTTTAAGTACTTAGGAAAAGAAGAAGAAAACAGTGCACATTTTATGTTCTATTGTGTTTAATGTGATGAACTAAATTGTTTGGATTAATCTTTTCATTATTTCCTTTATGTATATAGGAAGTTTGGTTAATTTTACCCTCAAATCACTTGAAGGTTACTCCTGTATTTTTTTTAATTATTTTTTTTAAGCGTTTGTTGAGAATGCACTGAAGCCATGCCAATAGCATTGTCTTCCAAATACACCTGAATCCAGAACTGTTCTTGGCTTCCTTCATGGTATTTCTGTTTTGAACTGCTGTTTTTGCTGATCTCAAGCACATTTTGAAAAATTCTTGTTTATTTCCGCGTCACCCCTGGAGCCGCGGCACAGTTTGAGAACCGCTGGTCTATAAAATATAGGTCCAGTTCTGGATGCCAAGTACGTTTGAAAGCATGCAGAAGGGTCCTTTACTTTTTTTGTTTTTTACTTTATGGATTACAAAGTTCAAGGGGATTAAGATTTTCTTTGTTCTAATTTGTTCAAATTCTGTCCGCAGTTTGGAGGGGGAGGCAGAGCTAAGCATGACAGCGGCAGTGCCAGCAAAACAGCCAGTAGGCAGGCTGTTGCTGCCTCGGAGGGAAATGATGACAGCAAAACAATTGATAATCAGGAAGATTTAGCTACAGGTGATAGTGTAGAGGACTGGGATTGACTTCCGTGCTAGTTTACTGTTGTATAAAAGTATCTAGTATTTGCATGCCATGACATGCAAGGGTGTCATCAGCACACGGATTGGTAAATGATGTTAGATCACAGGTTGCGGCGGTACATGGTCGCCCACACCAGTCTGCAAGATACTTGATCATGGTGATGATGTTCATAGTCTTTTTGATATTTAAGCTTAATCTGTTTTGTTGGAGAAATGTTGCGAATATAGTCAACATCACTTCAATGCAAATTATTCAATTAAATATCTCTCAGCCCGTCAGTCTGTCTCAGTCACTCCCTAGTTTCTCTCCAACCACTCCCTCAGTTCATTTCTTCCCATCTGTTCCCTCCTACCACTACCTAAGTTCATATCTTCCCATCTGCTCCCTTCTACCAATACCTCCGTTCATTTCTCTCCAACCACTCCCTCAGTTCATTTTTTTTACATCTGCTGCCTCCTACCACTACCTCATTTCATTTCTTATCATCTGCTTCCTCATCTTTTACCATACCTCAATTGATTTCTTTCCCTTTGCTCCCACCACTGTTAATTTCTTCCCATCTACTCCCTCAGCTCTCCTACTACTCCCTCAGTTCATTTCTTCCCATCTGCTCTCTCATTTCTCTTCTACCCCTCCCTCAGTTCATTTCTAATAATTTACTCTCTTATTTCCCATCTAATCCCTTATTTCTGTCGCTCATCTCATTTTTACTCTATCTACTCCCACAATACTCCCCTACCACTGTCTCAGTTAATTTATTCCTGTGTACTCAATTTCGCCCCTACCATTCCTCAGATTTCTCCTTCCCATTAGTTCCCTCATTTCTCTTCTACCACTCCTTCAGTTCACACCCCCAACCCCCAAGCAACAATCTGTTCCCTCATTTCTCTCCAATCACTACCTGTCTTCTTCATTTGTGTTCGCAATCACAAGTTGTGTGGTTGGCATATCGTGGCATGTATAGTAGATTGATTATGCTACCATCAACAGGTGAATGGTAGATTGATGCCACCAGTAGATGAGCGGTAGATTGATACCACCAGTAGATGAGTGGTAGATTGATACCACCAGTAGATGAGCAGTAGATTGATACCACCAGTAGATGAGCGGTAGATTGATACCACCAGTGGTTGAACGGTAGATTGATACCACCAGTAGATGAGAGGTAGATTGATTGTGTTACCACCAGTAGATGAACGGTAAATTAATTATGTTACCACCAGTAGATGAACGATAGATTGATACCACCAGTGGATGAACGGTAGATTGATTACATTACCACCAAAAGATGAACGGTAGTAGATTATGTTACCACCAGTAGATGAACGGTAGATTAATACCACCAGTAGATGAATGGTAGATGATACTACCAGTAGATGAACAGTAGATTGATTATGTTACCACCAGTAGATGAACAGTAGATTATGTTACCACCAGTAGATGAACAGTAGATTGATTATGTTACCACCAGTAGATGAATGGTAGATTGATACTAACAGTAGAAGAATGGTAGATGATACCACCAGTAGATGAGCAGTAGATTGATTATGTTACCACCAGTAGATGAACAGTAGATTGATTATGTTACCACCAGTAGATGAACGGTAGATTGATACCACCAGTAGATGAATGGTAGATTAATACCACCAGTAGATGAATGGTAGATTAATACCACCAGTAGATGAACAGTAGATTGATTATGTTACCACCAACAGCTAACATTATGTTACCACCAACATTATGTTACCACCAACAGGTATCATTATGTTACCACCAACAGATAACATTATGTTACCATCAGAAGATGAACTGTAGATTGATTATGATACCACCAGTAGATGAACAGTAGATTGATTGTGTTACCACCAGTAGATGAATGGTAGATTGATTATGTTGTCAACAACAGATAAACGGTAGATTGATACCACCAGTAGATGAGTAGTAGATTGATTATGAGACCACCAATAGATGAACAGTAGATTGACTATGTTACCACCAGTAGATGAACAGTAGATTGATTATGTTACCACCAGTAGATGAGCAGTAGATTGATTATGTTACCACCAGTAGATGAACAGTAGATTGATACCACCAGTAGATGAACAGTAGATTGATTATGTTACCACCAGTAGATGAACAGTAGATTGATTATGTTACCACCAGTAGATGAACAGTAGATTGATTATGTTACCACCAGTAGATGAACAGTAGATTGGTTATATTACCACCAGTAGATGAACGGTAGATTGATTATGTTACCACCATTAGATAAACGGTAGATTGATTATGTTACCACCAGTAGATGAACGGTAGATTGATTATGTTATCACTAGTGGATGAACAGTAGATTGATACCACCAGTAGATGAATAGTAGATTGATTGTGTTACCACCAGTAGATGAACTCATCTTTGCCCTCACTAGGTCTTAACCCTATCAGGTCATCATATACATTTTTTAGGCCCAAAAGAGTGAAATCCATTTAATTCTCTGCTCACTTCCCATTTATTGATTACTCACATTCATTTTTATTCTGCTACTCCTGTGGTAGTTTCTGAGTCGTTAGGGAACGACAGGCAGGGTATACCCCACTCGCCCAGAGGGGCCCATGACTTTGACTGCGGAGGCGCACATTTGATGATTCCTGAGGAAGTGCGTTCAAAGATCAGGTTCCCACCTGCGAGCGATAAGGTGTAAGTTAGAAGGTAAATTATTTGAGAAATTGAATCATGATTTAAAAAAGAAGTCGTTGGGTGATAAGCTTACAAGGTTTGGTAATGTAATATACGAGCACTGTTCCTGCGAGTTCGAGACAGTCAAAAAGGCGCTGCCGGGCATCAAGCAGAATATAAGTGGAGACAGAGGGACATTCTGAAGTGCCGGGCAGACAAGAATGCACTCAGAAAACGGTTCAAAGCCGCTACAGGCAGCGAATGGGAGGGACTGCATGAAGTCTGGTTGCATCTAAGAAATAGACACAGTGCCCTCTGTCGCGCTGAGCGTTTCTGTAACAACAGACGGAGAACCAAAAGGGAGCGAGAGAAATTCTTTAGGGACCCGTTCCAGTTTGCCCGAGGTCTATTCGAGCAACTGAGGTCTGGGATTTTGGTTGTCAGTAAAGAGGAGCTCGAGTCACATTTGCGCAAAATGTACTCTGACAAGAACAGGAATGAGCCTCTCGATAACAATCCAGGGATCCTTAGTGGCCTTAAGCAGCCTGAGTTGCCGAAGGTATCATTTAAAGTTGGTCTGAGATCGAGGAAGTTGTGAAAAGAGCTAGCGGCAAATCTGCACCAGGTCCGAATGGTGTGCCGTACGTCCTGTACAAGCGTGTCCGAAAGTCCTACGAAATCTTCACCGCCTCCTGAGGTTAGCGTGCAGCCGAAAACACATATGTCCGGAGTGGCAACAGGCCAATGGGGTCTACATTCCTAAAGAGCAGGACTCGAAGAGTCTTTCCCAATTCAGGCCTATCTCGCTGTTGAATGTTGAGGGGAAAATATTCTTCTCGGTCATGGCTCGCCGGCTCACACAGTATCTGATGGCGAACAAGTACATCGATACGAGTGTTCAAAAGGGTGGTATCCCGGGCGTTCCTGGGTGCCTTGAACACGCGACCATGATTTGGGAGTCTATTCAGAGAGCCAAGCATGAGAGAACCCAATTGCACGTAATATGGTTGGACCTCACTAACGCCTATGGGGCAGGCCCTTCGCATGTTTCACGTACCGACACAGATCAACGAAATGATTGAGCAATATTTCTCTAAGTTTGCTTTTCGCTTCTCTACCTCGACGTTTACTACGAGATGGACTGAGCTCCAAGTTGGTATAGCCATGGGGTGTACGATCTCACCAATACTGTTCGTCATGGCCATGCAGGTCATGTTGGACGGGGCGGCTGGCTACGGACAGGGCCTTCAGATTGGGGACCACTGGATGCCGCCACTACGAGCATTTATGGTTGACACGGCTATAATCACGAGCAGTGAGGAATCTGCTTGCACGATCCTGAAAAGATTGGACGAGGTGGTCCAATGGAGCGGTATGCAATTCAAACCGCAGAAGTCTAGAAGCCTGTCAATCCTTAAAGGTAAGGTAGCGGCAACCAGTTTTACGGTGGCAAGGAATCGGCTCCCCACGGTTCTAGAGGAACCGATTAAGAGCCTTGGGCTCGTTTACGATTCGAAGTAATCTGATAGAGCGGAGGTCCAGTGAATACACGAGTCACTAGCTACAGGCCTCCTCGCGATCGAGCGTAGCAGGCTGATCGGGAAGTTCAAGGTCTGGTGTCTCCCGTTTATGTTGATTCTAAAGCTCCTCTGGCCGCTGCTAGTCTACGAAGTGACGATGACTGCAGTGGAGACGATGGAGCGAAAAATCAACAAAGCCATGAGGAAGTGGATTGGTGCATCGCCTTGTCTTGATGTGGCTCTGTATTGTAAGCAGGCTAAGCTGGTACTCCCGTTCAGATCAATAACCGAAAAGTTTAAAGTCGGCAAAGTAAGACTCGCCATGCTCTTGCCCGAGTCTTCAGACCCAAATATCACCGCTGTCCAGCCCACTCTAAAGACTGACCTGAAGTGGAAGGTCGGTCCTAGATGCAATCGAATCTGCCCAGAGTGCACTAAAATTAAGGGAAATTATGGGTTACACTCAAACCGACCGTCGAGGCCTAGGTCACGGGAAAGTCAGTTGTTGGTTCAAAGCCACAGCCAAAGAGCGCCGAGACATAGTGATACAGAAAATAAGGGACAACGAAAGTGAGGTTAGGGTTCAGAAAGCAGCCCAACAGTCGCAGCAGGGCCATTGTATCAGCCTGGAGAGCGCCTTGCCAAGAGTACTCACATGGGGTGAGATCTGGCGAATGACCCTGCTGCGACTGAGTTTCATCGTTCGTTCTGCCTACGATGTATTACCGTCTGGTGTCAATATGGTAAAGTGCAGTGCGACTAACAACCCGACATGCCAGTTATGCAGAGCTAAGCAAACGCTCGAGCACGT